CAAATGCGATATATTTTTATGTCGCAATATCGAATTTCAATATCAGCTGGTTCGTCGAATAGTTAAAAACCAGCTTTCATGAAAAAAGATCGTTTTGCCAGCACGCTGACATTTCAATGCGATAATTGTGCAAGAAAGACATTATACAGCATGTTTATTTTTCTGTTTTTATTTTCCTATATCTGCTGAGAAAAAATTATTGTAAGTGCTGATCTAAGTATACCGTCTAAGTGAATCACTCGTGAACTTATGATAAACATGCAGCAAGCGATGAAAAGTCTTGTACAGAACGTTATGCAAATTGCGCGTCTGCGTGGATGAACCGTCACGTCGTTAAGTTCGAGCGGGATGCTTGACATCGATTTAAAATCGATTACGGCATTCACGGCTGGATGGCGTTTGGCGCAATCGACAATGCCACAAGTGAGGAAAATTAGATTATCCGCACATTGTTCATACTGGAACGTCTTTCTGTGGAATTTTGATTAGATATGAGGAGCTGCTCTCCGGCGTGATTGTGTCTACGTAATTTGTCTGCATTACCTTGAAATTGAAGAAAAGCAATGAGTAAAAGCAATGTATGTTCTCATCGAATGTTTGTACTTAATCTTACTGTTGATTATGCAGACAATGAGGGCTGGTGTGATCAGCAAATGTACTAAATAGAACAGTGAAATATGAATAATTCGAATTTACCGAGTACATATATATATATATGTATAGGCAGAATAATTGCAACGGAAACAACCTATATATATACATATATTGAAAATTGATTACGGACAAAAAAGAAATGATTATTTCACCGATGATAAAATGTAATAAGCATATATATAAAATATATATAAATATATATATACAAAATATATAAATATATTTATTACATTTTATTATCGGTGGAATAATCATTTCTTTTTTGTCCGTAATCAATTTTCAATGCTTTGAGATTTGCTAAAGCACATGAGAGCCGCAGCTAAACCAGATTAATCGTTGAGTGACACTGACAAATCAAAGGCTATCGCTATCAGCTATCAAATAATCCCAGTAAAGCCAGCTCGAGTTTTTATTTAACGTTCTTCGCGCTCGTCGTAGATTTACTTTAATTGAAAAGAAATAATTTTTGTGGAAATAATCTGTCTGTCTTTCTCCTCACGTTTAAATTAATAACTTTGAACATTAAATTTTAATTGGCAATTAATTAGTATGTTATTCTTACTTGCAATGCACTTCTCTCTTAATTAAAGAGATGTGACTATTTAAATCTTTACTGGCATTTTTGAAAAGATTTTTTGTTAAAAAAATAAAATACTGTTTAATTTAATAATAATGCTTTTAAGAATTAAGAAAGCATAATATGTAATATTATTATAATAGTATAATATGTAATAAGATGTATAAACGTGTAAATTAAAAGGTGTTTTTTTAGAATTTTAAACAAGAGAGACTGGCGATAATTAATATTAATGATACACTGTAAGGTTTTATAAGTATCTATTTCGTAATATATGTATGTGTACATATGTTTATGTATATTAGAAAATATGAGATAAATAGGCCCGGCAACATAATGCAATTGTTTTAAATCCTGGTGAGCCTCGTAGCATGTAGTGCTACAATATTAAAATAATTAATTGCTTTGTTTCTATCCCGCACAGTAGCCGCGCACCAAAACGATGCCCGCAAGTTACATCGACCAATTTCCCATTTAATCCTAGAAGCTGATTTAACGGGTGTACATTTGTTAAGGGCATTAGGCGCGCTCATTATTTATCGCAGACCAATAAATTCCGTCGCGAAAGCGGGTGTTTAATTTTACACGCGTTCGAGAGCAATAATTGGAGGATGAAAAAGCCTTTATAGGCGATCATTCGCACGTATTTATCGAAAACTGATAAGCCACCAAAAAATATTCAAAATACGAGTTTACAACACTTTATTGATTAGGAATAACGCCATTATCAAAATTAATTCTGTTTCTGCGTGCGTAGCAAATGCAAAATTGCAATTTTAATCGCGATTGTGGAAACGGAGCTTACATATATATAACGCATATTTCTATCAGTAGTTGTAAACATATTAACCATTTGTTTAGTTTTAGTTTCAATATTCCGAAAATAAAGTGAATAAAGTAAAAAAAAAATAAATAAATAAGAAACAAACAAATTACATTAACAATAAGCAATGATTGATATAAATTGTTTTTTGTCTATCAACTATCAAATATCAGCGTATTTTTTTTTTTTTAATATGCAAATTTGTTTCGTAAATATTAATAATTAACCTACCGCAATATGATTGCTCTATTGGTACAAATGTAATTTATGATTCCATGTCTGGCATAAATTATATTATAAATGCTAAAGCATTTGATTATCTCGATAATTAGAATGTAATAGTACCATAATGTGTCGGAAACGTACCTCGCGATTAATTAATGTGTTATTAAATCGCAATGCCGAATAATTTACAATCGTGTCACGTGACGATCGTGCAAATTTTCTGGTGTACTGTGTAAAAATATGATGCATAATTTCATTTATCCATTATTAACAATTTAAACTTGAATTTGTGGAGACAATAATATATATTATGTGAATGTGTGCAAACGTTTTTTGAAAGGTTTCTCAAAAATGTGGCTAATCCAGCACTTTATGGCAGCACTTACAAACATGCAGATCGTAAAAAAAGATCATACTTTTATCTATTATTATAGTAATACGTTGTTTTAAATAAAATTACTTGATTTATTTTTCTATCACAAAATTCATTAAAAATTTTTTTTTATTAACTATATTGAAGTAATTGCTAATGCAAAATACAATTTGTTAAATATAATTAAAGTAAAATACACAGGTATATGAGTTAAGTAAATCCGTATCCGATAATAGTGAGAAATAATATAAATAGTAAAATATAATAAATAGTAAAATATAGTAAGATGTGATTATGCACCGCGATTATGTCGGAACAAAGGCAATCCTAACAGCTCGTGATTTTATCCTGATATTTGAGATTTTGCCAAGAAATTCAAAGTTCATCTACTGCTTTTACTTACGACGTTCTTGCGACATCTTTTTCAGAATTTATACTTTTTCGTTGACAAACCAGAATGATTTACATCGTGTGTTGCTCGCGCACTACAAGGATTTCTTTTGAGAATTGCAACATGAATAATTTGGCGCAATATATAACGTCGCGTCGTTTGGAGGTATCTTTATCGAGTTGTATCTTGATTTTCGCGCTGTTCTTCAAACATATTCGAGGATTTTGACTTGCAAATTCCGTTGTGCGTAAGTTACGATCCGCAACAGCGACGAAGAAAACAAAGTTATGACTCATTTTGCACTCATATTTTTTTATTCATGCATCAACGTATTCATCGCGCAATTTAAAGTTTGCGTTGCATATACTGGCGATATAATAAAATGTTCATAATATACCAACGAGTGGAATTAAGTAGGAAACTGTATTATCTAGAAACCATTATATTCAGCATTAAATTAATTTCCAGGTTATTTTAACTGAATGGATATTTTATGACCTTACTTCTCTTTTAATTAACATAATAATTAAAATAATTTAAATGTGCAGTTAGTATAATATATTAACTCTTCGATAGCAATTAAATAAAATAGTTTACACAAACAATATATATCTCTCTCTCTCTCTCTCTCTCTCTCTTTCTTTCTCTCTCTCTTTCTTTTCTAATTAAAATATAAAAAATATGTTAACACGACTTTCAGTTATAGATAAATCACGCGTTGCAGAGAAATACGTGTAACCTAGCCAAGTAGAAACTATTATTTTTCGGTGGACATCAGAAAATCTATCTACTCACTAGACATTACTGCTATCCAAACTGATAAAACTTTTGTTCGGCTTTTTTTCGGCAAACGTCAGCTATTTCTTGAGTAGCAATCTATAAGCAGCGAACCGAGAATGGTCTCTATACGCAGAGTTTCTCGTTGACATTCACAAAATGAATATACACACACAGAGAGGAAGAGAGAGAGAGAGAGAGAGAGAGGGAGAGAGAGAGAGAGAGAGAGAGAGAGAGAGAGAGAGAGNGAGAGAGAGAGAGAGAGAGAGAGAGAGAGAGAGAGAGAGAGCGAGGCAAAGTAATACGATTTTATTTCTGAAAGACCGTCAACATCCTATGGCACAAGAAATTGGAACTTTATCACGATTTTCATATTTAATCAATAAAAAAAAGTTTTGAAGAGCGTTTAAACTTTCGCTAAAAGAATGCGTACTTCAAACGTGTCAAGAAACTCGCAGAGTAACAATAAGTATATACAATTTACTTATTCCTTATTGAATTGCTCGTTTTGTTTCTCTTTGACGGAACTGAAATTGCGCGCGGGAGAAACCTTCTATTCTAACTTTCGTTAAAACATGCCGAAGTTTTGCCTAGAAACATTGTCGGCAAAGAAGAAGATGCTGCGATTCGCGGGACTGATAAAGCGCTCGAGTTTCGCACTATTTGAAAAGTGCTTTTGTTTACATCGCTATAGATGTACATCAAGTGGATACGCGCATGTACGAAAGGACGTAATTCTGCGGAATTTCCGGAAGTCGAGCTAAACATTTTACCGGAAATATCGTCTGCAACCGGAATCTTGAATGTTAGCTCTTCCTACGCGAATTTATTATCGTGGATTTCTGAAGACCCGAAAGGATTTCCCGTCGTTGCATTTCGACTCGCGATAATACGAATCGTCATGTAACCTCAAGCGAACACAGGACTAAGTCTGTTTGTTCGACCTACTTTTACACGTGAATTACGCGATTGCCATTAATGATCCAATTTATTTTAGAAAGCACACAATACAAGAAACATTATAAATAAATATTACTTTATTGTCATGAAATTAATACAACAAGAAATCCATATTCTCTTGTGTGTGTTTCATATTCAACATTAAATATAACTGATATCTAGTTAAGTATATAATTTGGTTTAAATCAAAGAGAGACAGTTTTAATAGTTGAAAAATAAAACAAACTTTAAAAATCATAAAACAGCGCTGATTTCAAAAAATCAGAAAATGCGCTTCGGATAATGCAACTGCATCATTCGACGCGATGGAAATTAAAAATTTGTGGATGAACTCTAGTGTGAGCAGTTTCGATTTTTTCCAAGTACGCTATACTCGGTTTCTCTCTTTCCTTGATCGATTTTTCTAGCAAAGGACCGCCGATGAGTGCCTCCACATCTTTCGTGAGTAAGGATGGTTTCCATACCGGAGCGCAAAGATCTATCACGGCGGCCATATGATGCACCTTTCTTCTCTTCTTCGTTGCGAGAAGCTTTTTCGTCGTGCTTGTGACCTCCTTGGCAAGATCTTCCTTTTTCAATTCCGGAGTGTGTCGAGATTTTTCCGCAGTCACGGTACTATATAAAATATCGCGGTTAAATTATCGGCAGCTGAATATCGAACGGAATGCGACGAGAAATTCGGCTCTCTTTGAGTCTGCGAATTCTTAAAATGATCGGAAAATCATTCGACGCTGTACGAGCGGCATTTGGAAATTTCGACGAGGCGTCTCATTTGCACAGAAATATTTTAATACAAAATAAAATTTTTTTCAAATTATATCCTCGGTTTTTAAACCGATGTTTTTTTATTATCAAAACATTGAGATCAAAACCTGCATTTACGATCTTTCTGAACGAATTTTCTCGTTTTCATTCTCGCTTTGTTGGCTTCTCGAATTTCCCTTTTAGCTCTCGTTGCATCTTCCACGAGTTTCTCGAGCAACATCGTCTTTTGAAGAGAATGAACTCTTTCCTCGCGTTTATGAGCGCGCAGAAGCTTCGTCCAGGACACTCGTTTCTTCCGTCTCATTTCGTCTTTTCTTCCGATCGACATCTTCGTTCTGACGTCGTTCCTTGACCTCGTTTTCTCATCGACTTTGTCCTGTTCCTCACGACCTTCGACTGCTCGTGCTGCAGACCTAATGCTCGCGATTCAATATGCTTTCGTGAATTTTAAAGTAAAAAGAAACAGTCGATATCGAATCGAAGTGAATTGGGATTTAAGTTGTATAGCAAATTTTTGGAATATCATATTTTAAAAACCATTGAAAGTCTGTCGATGTTGATGATATCAAGTCACTTGATTGTTCGATCCATGAAATATATCAATCTCTTATTGAAGAAGTTTTGTGAAGAAAATACGCGTGATTAAAAAATATTTTAAATAAAAATAAAATGATATTTATTGCGATAAAACGTGAAGGGAGTGCGTTGTATCTAATTTTTAATTTTCCGGAGAGAAATTCGCGACAGCAAACGTCAGGTTTGCAGATAGCAACTTTGCACGGTCTCGGTAACCTGAAAACGAACCTTCGCAGCCATTTCTTCGGAACTCTTTTTCTCACTTTCCTACGTTTTCTTTTGCTAATTTCCTTCGCAGGATATTCCAAGACCGTTTCCACCAACGGCGGTAAGAATTCTTCCGTCATTTCTTTCTCTTGTTCAACGTCTTGTGCTATTTCCGTCGTAGGAATCACGATCTCGGGCTTCTTCGTGTTGAATATTTTCTTGGCCAGCACTTTCGTCTCGGCGGTTTCTCTTTCCTCGTTTATCATCGCGTGCCAATCTTTTTCGATCTTCCGACTGCTGAGTTTCTTCATAGAACGATGCTCTTTGAACGAATTTAAATCATTAATTTCTTCCGTGTACTTCTGTTTTTCCTGAAAAAAAAATAAATATTGCAAATTTTGCTAAATGATAAATGACTTTTCTCTTCAGATTGACCCAATCTATCTTGATATTTCGGCTGTGTGAAAATTTTTCAGATACCTTCAATATATATGTTTGTGAAACACATATATATATATGTGTATAGAGAAACTAATGCATTGAAATATTAAATAAAACCTAATCAAATTTCTTTCTGCTGTATACTTTATGTATTGTATAATTACTATAATTAAAACACATAATGCGAGAAAAAGAACGATTACTCCAATATTACTTGATTGACGATCTCGAAGAATCTCTCTTCGGCATCATGAAGTTCGGCGTCGTCATTCTTCACTCTTCTTTTAGACGCGACTCTGCTTTTCTCTCGTTTTTCGTGCATCTTTCGTTTTTGTTCGTGTTCGATTACTATATGTTTGTTTTTTTTCTTATCTTTCGCGTCTACCAATATGGATTCTGACGCTTCTATTTCAGATTTCTGGAGTTTTATTTCTTTCAATCGGGTATCAACTGTTTTCACGAAACGAGACCCTGTCTCCAGATACTGACAGTGAATTTGTAAAGCGCGATAAACATTGTTTTACTTATTGTATTATGCCTAAGAATTTTAAAGAAGTAAATAATTACAGTACGTATGTACGATAAGTCTCACCGTCATAAGATCATTCCGTTCATTTTTATCGAACGAGTATAACGCTTCCGTTGACTCGACGAGATAAACCATACCGACCGAATTTCCGACGGCCAATAAAGCGCCTGTCTCGTGTGCCGCGATCGCAGTTAATTTTTGCTTACACAATTTTACCGATAGCATTGGATACCGTAATCCCATCAAAAGATCCCATATTGTTAGAATACCAACACGCGTTATCACATAAAATAATGAATGTCTCACTTTATTCCAACAACCACGGACAGGATCTTCTCTTATAAATCTAAAAATCGGTAATTGTTTATTACGTATGTAATAAGAATTTCAGTATCAAAATATAAATTAGAAGCATTTTTATAGAGCTACTTGCATCCAATTTTGATGTTATTATTTATTATTCTTAATTTTTCTTATAATTGTTTTATTTTCAAGAAAATACCTCGTTGTCACGAGACTGTCGTCTTTAGTTTCTTCAGTCCAGATGCGGGCCGTACAGTCGCCGACAGTGAGGAAAATTTTTGGATGAAAGCCACTGCGATCAACGGAAAGAACCGGGCCGTAATGAGCGTCGAATCGCAGAGCTAATTTTTCAGCCGGTGTTTTCGCTTTTCTCGAACCGCTAATCACAATACCGTTCTCTAGACCAAACATGAACTTTGTGCCCACGCTAGGCTCATAATCGGCCGATGTAACTCCGATTGCTCGATCCATAACCGGTGTGTTAGGTGTCAGAAGATCGAATACAAGAATCTCGGTCGGACTTCGCAGCTTTCTGGTATCCCACCACATAGCTCGACCGTCCGTAGAGCCCGAGAAGAACTCCGTGTTGCTCTTTGTAGCGATCCACTTCACCGTTGTCGTGAAATCTCTTTGAAAATGCAGAAATTTTATTGTTTGCATTATTTTCCGAGAAAATAAAATTTATTTTATACACATATAAATTAATTTCGATACTTATAATTATTTATATTATATCATAAATAAACTGTTATTTTATACAAATTACATTGCAGCATTTTTCATAGATATGAAACAAAATAGATCGAATTATGTCCTCCCGCACACGTTGACGTGCAGAAAAAGTCGCACGTGATGTGACGAACATCGCGCGAAAACGAAATGAAACTTAATTGAGGGCGGAAACGTGGCAGGTACAGGATTTTATTCATTTATCATCTTGCCACGCAAACTCGAAACGCGTTCTCGGCCCAACAGGAAAACCAAGTGCACTGAATTATGAAATTCAAAGTTGCGGCGTCGCGACTAGGCGTGTTCTTGTCTAGATTACCTATGACTGAATTGACGATGAGACGTTTGAACAGGAGTAGTGCCAGTCCTGATATCCCAACTGCAAACTTGGCCTGACGTCAGACCACTGACAAGTACAGAAGGATCACGAGGATTAAACTCGTTGACCACCGTAGCAGACGGAGCCTCCAGTGTCATCCACGGTTTATTAGGATCGTCTAATGCGTGTTTTTTGAGAATTAGTTTTACAACGTCCGTGGTCGATCAAGTAAATGGACAAAAAAAGGGATATGTTAGTTTTGTGCTATTAAAAACCTGCTTTTTTGCGAAGTCCGATTTTAGACTATTAGATATACGCGCCATTAAAAAGATACGAGGATGTATTGCACGATTGGATTTTATTTTAAAACACACCAGAAATATCATGTTGTTAGATGTTGTATCTGATGTAGTTTTATGTATTTTACGTATGCTCAGATTTTTATTTGTCACAAAAAGATCATTGTAATAGTTAACGTAAAGAAATTACAATTTTGAGATGTTACAATTTTTGTTTAAACTTTAATAGATCAATAACAACGCGTATGATTATTTCATCAATCGATATTTCATTGAATACTGAACGGGCGCTGTGCAGAGAGAATTGATCACGAAGACGTCGCATATACAATTGCTAAAATTGGATTTCACGTGAGATTTTCCATATGTTTGCGTTCATCTATTAATATCTAATATTAATATATTTCTTTTTTCACTTAGTACGACATAAACATTGTGTATCGTAAGTTGTTATATCGTAAAATTTATAGATTTGCTTGGCGATGTTTAGGATTATCATTACTAAAAAAGAAACGTCAATATGCGATCGCATTTAGCAATCGGGTAAAACGTTTTAATGCGATCTGATTGTGATTTTGCGCGCTTTTTTCACCTACCGATCTGCCATATGTACGCAATTTTGCTGTAATCTGGCTCGATTCCAAAGGAGCAGTACGAGATCGCCATTTTACTGCCGGTATCTGGCGACCACGAAATGTTGTTTACCGATCTCGTCGGCTTTTGAGGATCCTCGTAGACATTTACTATCCTAAAATAAAATTCGAACAGGCTGTTGTTTTTTTTGCTGTCAACGTAATTTGAAAATCAGATATCAAAGTTCTCAAGAAGCTCTGTGCTCGTTATTTTCGTTCGAAACCTTTCGCGTGAGTTCAAAAGTGATTTAAGAATCCATGAGCAGAGGAAATTGTTAGTTTAAAACGGTAGAAAGTACATTTAGCAGAATGCATAATTCACGTCCACTACGATTTTGAAATCCCGACATATGTTCCTTCGGGCTCGGGCCAGCTTTAAATTTTAAATCTTTCAATGGCATCCTCCTGTGTCCCTCTACGCGAATATATACATTTTAAAATTGTCCATCTCGGAGAGACAGAGACATCACAAAGTTTCGAGCATACTATCAAATATCGTATGATAATAAAAAGAATTCTTTTTGTTAACCAACGACCATTGAATTTTTAACATTTATATTATTTTATCGACCACGATCGTCCAACAAAGTTCACCAAAAATATTTTTATCGTAATTGTTTTTATATGAATAATTTCAGTCGCGCTTTATAATGTAACACGTCGAAAATGAATTCTTATACCTGGTGCTACGAGGTTTCACTAATTCGCTGGGAATCATGTCGTCGAAATAGTTCTCGTATATGTTAAGCGCGCCGTTTTGGAGAAGATTGTGTTCCGTTTGCTGCGGAAAAGAAAACAACGTGATGTTTGTGTTTTCTGGAATAAAGATAACGTTGTATCAATAGAGTTGAAATTGTGCAATTGTTTAGAAAATTATTTCTTCAGATTTTCGAGTAAGCTAATTTCAAAATATTTCTACTGACAAAAATAGACATTCACCATATAATCTATAATTTACTTTGAATAAATTTCGTAATTTTGATGCCCATTCATCGTCTTTTTCGACTCGTCTGCGAAACCTCGCTGTAGTCTCTTCGTCTTTCGGATTGATTTCTTTCGGCCAGCCACCTTCGAAGTGAAACATTCCGCTGTTTTTTGAATGAACGCCAACAGTCTGGGCCTAAAATTTCAGAGAAATGATTGATTACTGAAACGATAATGTGAATGATGCAAGACATTGGTTGCCGTACGTACTTAAACAGTCTGTGTTCATACACGAAATTTATACGAAATGATAAATTAAATTTGTTAAACATTATATACGTGGCGCTTATATTTCTATCGTTTTTTTGTGAATTATTTTAAGGTTTAAAAAAAAACTAAAAATTAACGAAAACAAAGAAATAAATCAGTTCAGAAAACTGCTGTCGGGAAACGAACTTGTTTGGTGGAAAACAATGATTTGTTTTATACGGAAAAATATATGAAACACACAACTCGAACAGCGAAACGTATAATTCCCACGATCGAAAAATTCGCTTCGTTACAAAACAGAGCTGGGAAAACGACACACAAAACTCTTCACGTAAAGTACTGATAGTTTGATAGATGTTGCAGTTTTGTAGAAAATTGCGCACTTGCAACGTCAGGTAGTGAATTCGCCAAGACGATGCACGGGATGTTGCACCGTCAGCCGCGTCAGTCTGACGCCAATTTTATCGCAAGTTGCGTCTAGTTCCGCTAAAGTAAAACGCACCTGATTTTTGAATATATTAGTGGACTTTTCAAACTGGCTGCAGCAAGTTTGCTCTCTGTTACATCGGATAACTAAAATCAACTTGAGAGCTGTTGGTTATCTTGAATATACAATTTAAGAGAATACTATAATATAAATATAAATATAAATATATATATATATATATATATATAATTATAATTTTAAAGAAAAAGTTTTTCTAACCTCATGCAGTGCTAACTGTTTAGTAAATTGCACGTTGACATTGCAGTAAGTCTTTGTTACATAATTGGCCATAGCGTCAGGATCCGATTTAATCTCCAGGTCCAAATGCGGACCGTGCACATCGAAGATACACTGCTTGCCAAATTCAGCGCGTGTTTTCAGAAAAACTTGCTTGATTTCCATCGTTTAACGCCGTCGAATTAAACCGACAACTTTGCGCGTGCGAAGCTTACGAAGAGGATAAATCAGCGTAAAAATACAAAAGGCAGACAAAGCTGTCGAATGTGTCGCAAATATGCTATTGCACGTGTTTTCTACGTACGTAAAATTGCGCACGATTGTCTTATCTTGATAACGATACAATTGATATTTTTCGAGTTTGTTCTTTCTTTTTGTTATGAATTCTACTGACTTCAACTTGTTTCTTACTGAATATTAGCATTCTTCAAGTTAGAGTTTGGACATATTGTGTCTTCATTTGATTACTTGAATTTCTAGTTGAATCAGAAATGGCGAAACGGAGAATTGACTAATCAAGAGACATTATTTAAAACAGATCGTTATTATATGATAAGAAAAGAAAAAAAAGTTTTTTAAAAAACTTAAAAATATAATTTTATAAATGAGTTATCTATAAACATACATATACATATAGTCTCTTCTAAACATATTATTTACTGAGAGACATAAAAACATAACACTTTTTACTGAATAACAAAAAAAATAATTATTAATTTTATCACAAACATAATAACATAATATTGTTGTATTATATTAATATATATATATATATATATATAACAACGTTTATATATGTATATACATATATATATACATTTATTATTGTGCAAAACATTGCATATATATTAATACATACAATGTTTTATTGGACAATAATTATTTAATTATTGCAGCATGCTTATTATACTTTTGCTATTATATAATCTTTTAACTTGCAATCTTTACTCTGAAAATAATAAGACGTATTTTATTTTTAATTTTAAATTATGACAATTTTTTATACATTATTATATCAAATTTGATATACGGAAGAATATACATTTATAGTGTTCATGGGTTTACGAATTTTACGCAATTTTATTATTTCTTCTATTAGCTGCATTTACGATGATTTTGCAAATGGCGCGAAAATAGTTTTCAACAGGAATTATCTCGAAACGGGAGCGGCAAGTTTCAACGCGGAAGATTCGCTACATTACGCTTCTCGAGTGTCTATCGATTTGCTAATCCGTGCTACACCTGTAGTTTTCCAGTCGGATTTACCGGCCAAATAAAGAATCCAAACGAGACCCTTTGCCTAACCGATCGCGAAACTAGGCCAGTGTAGAATTCTTCGACGCTTTTAATCTCTTGAAATAATGAGACGTGAGGACTTGCTTCATCTGCTAGGATTTATTTTTCTTCCAACCAGAAGCAAGTATTCAATACCAGCAAATCAAGAAATTTCGTATTTCATAATACAAAAATCGACAGTTTCTTATTTGAGAATTGCAACAATTAACGAACTTTTGTCGATTGCTGCCGAAAAATTGGATACACTTATCGGTTTCTACTCTACGTGAAAATAGTTTCGATTAGAGATGTTCTCTTTCTCTTTTTTTACAAGTCAAATTACTTTACACGAACTTCTTCAATCAGCTCGCGGGTTTTCCATACGAATGTGCACGTTTCTCATAATATACACACGGGAAAGTATAGGGAACATCTCATGATTCTTCCATGAGCGCCATCTATTTGCTTTCGGTTTTGCTAAACTTTCCATTTTAAACTCTTCACTCGGAACTTTCCTCCCTTGTCTCAGACAGAGATCCGCATTCTGTGATTCGCCAATTTTGTGCAAAATGCATATTCGAGATCTCGCTTCTTTCTTCTTTCCCTTCTCCGTTTTTCTTTTGCTCAGTCATCTCTTCTCCGCAACTCCGGCATTGATTAATTGACCTCTTGGTTGTAGCGTTTCTTCCTGAAACATGCTTCTTGGAACGCTCACCGGCGAAATACCTTTACTTCACTCTTCCATCTGCACTTCTCTTTGCAATGCACTTTGGTCTATCTTTGTCGTTTATTCTTAACGTTACAAAATAGAATATTATTTTATCGCATCCGACGTTCTTTTTCATCTTGATTGAGGCTCTTTCAACTAATTCTTTATAATCTCAACAAATTACATAGCGGATTTTAGTAACAATGTGCATTTGAATGAACTTTAGATGTTACGTATACATCAAAAAGCTACATCTTTGGATATACGCGCAATCGGTTTATCATTTTGAAATTCTTGCCAAAGAAATGAATTATGAAGAAATTTGTTTTCTTATCGTCTGCTCAAAGTCTTTTTGCCTGTTATATCACTAAGTGAAAATGTGACCCTTGTATTATTCGCGATAATTTCCATAATTTAATTTATATTAGCTTAATCCTCTGGCGTTTCTGATGCGCCGCAAACTTTGTGAGAGAACGTTTTTCGCAGATTAAACAACGAGCTTGAATTTTTAAACTCTATCTCTGTTTTAGCGAACTTTTTTGTCTCTCAGAGAAAGAGCGGCATCGAGATCTTATTTTCATTTCCGCGAGATTCATTTCGAAGTCTTTCTTGGAGACGCGCGAATTGCATACTGTGATTGCAATTTTGCACATCTGCGCTTTCGTTTCGGCATTTGAGAAGCACCGCGCAATCGATTAATCGGATAGAAAGTTTAATGGCGCGCGTCTTTGATCCTTGCGGTAATTTCGGCAATTTACCGTCTCAAGTTTTGACCTTTCTCTTGCTCTTATTTCCCTTACCTTAATCCTTTCGTGCACAGTCTCTTTTGTCGCTTTTGTCACAGTCTTATCGCGCTGCTCGAAGAGAGTTCAAACGAAGAGAGATGGCAATCTCTTTACGTAATATTCTTCGATCGCGAGGCAAGATGAAACCATTAGTGCGTCATCTTGAGTTTGACTTTTTACTTTGGGTCTCGCGCGACTTCATTCTTAAAACTTCTCCTGACTTGATTTCGCTTTTTTCAATTGCTTTAATATTCGTACGCGAGCGAGTATCTCATGTCACTAAGCAGTCTATTTGATTCATTTCTTTCTATGCAAAGCACTAACTCAAACGTTTTGAGATTCCATTCAAATGTAGAGAGTGCTCGCTCAGTCAGCTTCTTCTTTGGTTTTTGGTTTTTTATAGAGCTATTTAAAGTGAAAGGAACAGCTTAATAATTTGATTTTTTGTTCAAAAAACATTTTTTAAAAATAGCGTTTAAGACGTTCTTCAAGATGTTTAACTTAAATTTTTACTTCGTGGTTGGCAAATTTCAACTGATATGTATATTATTTGTAATGTTACAAATATGAAATTATTAATTGTTGTTTCTACTTGTGCTGCGTCGACGCCGTTATCGTCTTCGTCTCTGACGTTATCTCATCAGATGGATATGTTTCTGACTCTCGGATGTACTTTTCGAGATGTGGTTCTGCCACCTTTCTTTTCTCTCGCGTTTGCGAAGTCTTATCCTTACCGTCACTGCTGTTGCTGAACTTCCATTTCGAGCTCGTTTCTGCAAGCTGCCGAAAATCCGATCTACCCTCTTCCGCGTTTCGTACAGGCGACTCGTCGGCGCCGTTCCTGGTTTCTCTCTTTTTCTTTTCTGATTTCTCGTACACAACTTCAGTTGCTCGGGGCGACCAGAAGTCACGTTTCCCCGACATGACTCTCTGTCTCCAGGCACGCACTTCCCTCTTGGCTGCTTCGACTTCGTCCGCGAATTTGTCCGTCAGCAATTTGTTCTCCTTCAATATCTTTCTCTTCCAGAACGCAGATTCATCTTCTTTCGAGATACCACGAGCTCGTAATTTGATCTTCCGTTTTTCTAAAATATACACGGAACAAGTTTTGCATGAACAAAATAGCTGATTCAGATAATCATTTCAAAATAAAAGAAACGCACTTAATTGAAATATTTAACATCAACGAAGTTCTTTCCCAATATAAGTTTTTTTAAATCAATAATTTATTAATTCTTTTAGCTAAGTAATTAATTTTGTAAAATTTTGCGAGATGTTTAGTTATCCCATTGTGAAAATCAAATTGCACATGAAGTTAACTACTATTTTTGCAGCTATTAATTTTGTGTTCAATTTTCAGAATTTCTGTAATTTAATCGCTTTGTAATGCAAATTACGATATAATGTATCAATGCTACGAAAATAAATGCAAATAAATTTGAGAAAGGATATAATATTAATATTAATTTCTCGATATGATATTAAATTCTGCATAATATTAAGTTTGTTTATTATATAAAACAGTGCGTAAACAAATTGTAATAAAAAAAAGCAATGACATTTTAGTTTATTTACCAGATTAAACTAAATTACATAGAATCATGTTAAACCTGCACATAAAGTCACTTACGTCGAACACGTCAATGCATGAGAATTGTCTTGTCTAATTTTTTTTATCGCCATTTTACTTCTCTCTCTTTTTCTCATTATAATCTCTGTATATAATATTCTTTCTAAAGTTTAGCGCGCGGTCAATTCTCTCAATAAAACCATCGTAATAACTGTCATTTTTATTACGGGCAAAAGTTGTTTTTTTTTATGAGAGAAAATTGTATTTAGTTTTTACCGTAATGTTATGTTATTGGTTTTTTCTATCGACTAAATATATTAGCTTAATGATATCTAAATTTTATCGCGTCGAATGTTAGTACGTAAATGTGCTGTTTCTAGAATAAATGAAAAACATTTTTGCGGAAGTGCAGCCAGTGAAATATTGCGCGTCACGGCTGTTGGCAAGACGACAGGAGCATAATGCATCTTTGATGCGTGTAACAAATGATAGTTTAATGGCGCGAGCTCAGTTCCGCGGTTGTATAGCATCCGGTTTAAGAAATCACTAAATTATAGAGTAGCGCAAGAATACGGCAGATGTACGAGCTCTGATGTTTGATAAGGTCTTTTTGTCAACACAGTGTTTAAAAAGAGGAATTCCACGGGAAATAAAGAATAAAATATTTCTTTGTTTTATTCGCGTTTACATTATATTTCTTTTCATACTTTCGTAAATGAGCGAAGCAAAACAGAACGGTTAAATTATTATTGGACAGATTTACATGCGAACTTTCGTTACGTATATCTTTCATTAAGAAACCGCGTCGACGTCTTCAGATTCTCAATTACGCCGGCATGGCATCTAAGACAGCTAAAGAGGAATAACAAGGTGGTTTAGCGCATTAATCTAATGCAAGCGTAGTTTAGTTAGACGTATACAACGCGCGCTCTAAAGGCGGCCGCAATCGCAACGTTCTTAATTAAGCTGTCCGATTGTGTCGTCGCGCTATCGAGATGTCTCCTTCGAATGTATATCCTGCAACAATTGGATCGGCGAAACGCTCCGTCAATAATAGTGACGACGCGAGAGACGTTGACGGATCAAAACAATAAACTTTTATCAATGTTTCCAGCTGATATAACGCATTCACGCGTGGTCGGATCGCGATTTTCCGTCAAAATTATCTTCTTTCCTCTGTGTTTTTTCTGCTTCGCGACGCTATCAAACTGCAACTGCGATATTTCATATCGCGTTGTCATCGATATGGTGCTCAAATGTGAAAGAAAATTATATACGTAATACCACCATAGTGGTTCAAATAAAACTCGTCGCTCAGTCCGGAAAGCACTGGCGTTATCGGATCATTCTATACGCTTCGAACGGAGATCTCGTTATCTTCGATACGAAACGCACCTGCTCGTTCATCCTAACATTCCAAGCACATGATGGGATCAAGAGCGGAAAAATAGCGTTTGTTTTCTGACCGGATGAAATGTCGTTGCGAGAGATACTTACCTTCTTCATCCGCGTAGCAGATTTCCGGCTTGCAGACTTCCACGCAGATTTTTTCCAAAATCTCTTCAGCATGACGTCTTTTTCTCGATTTCTTAAGCGGTGCTTTTGTCTTCTCGACTTCTTCAACTTCAATTTCTTCTTCCATCAAGTATTTTTGTGGGGATACAAATTTTGTTTGTGATTTTATTTTTTTCACAACAGGCTCGAGATGCTTCTCTTCTTTCTCTGTCTTTGATAACTCGTGCAAACTTGATTTCTTCTTCTTGCGCGGTGTTTCCTGAAGAAGATTTATTATCTTTGCGCTTTCGTAATCATCCATCAAGCTCGGATAGCTCGCAAGTTGCTGGAACGAGTGTAAATTTTTCATAAAAATTTGAACGACATGGTGCAATTATTGCGGTGCAAGTTTCAGCGATGCAAAGGCACGCGTTTAAACAAGAGCATCTCATACATAAGTACATAAAAAGTATCTACCATTTTCTTTTCCAACTACTTAAATTCTATCTTACCGCGTTAACTGTTTGAAAAAACGTCGTTTCCGTCTCTGTCAGATCTTCGAAGAACACATCGTTTTTCGCAAGTTTTCTTGGCTGAAACTTTCTTTTTAATTGGTCATTCTTTTCTTTAACCTGAAGCTTGCTTCTTTCTTGATTGTTTCCTTTTTTCTTTGACACTGATATTATGGACTCCGCTACTATATCAACAGCGCTAGCTTGTATCGCGTGTACTTCTTTCAGTCGCATTTCGACGAACTTCTCGAAACGACGGGATCTCTCAAAATACTAAGCAAAAAAAGCACATTGTTGCCTTTTAGTTTTGAACAGGAACAAAGATAGACCATATAGTCGAATTGAAAACGACAACAAACGAACGGCATCAATAAATTCAAACTCTAACGCGTCAGGTATTATATATACGTTATTTAAATTAGAGAAATTAAACTACTCTAACTGGAACTGTATTTTTCGGAACAAATAAATAACAATAGAAGTAAAATTTTAATTACATGTAATTGTTTTATTTGTATGCGCTTTAAGTTGTTGCTCTTAACAGAAAAGGTTTATCAAGCACTCACAGTGATAAGATTCGTTCTGTCGCTTTTTGTATTGACGGTGTAACCTTCGGAGCATTTCACTAGATATATATTGCCTTCATGAGTGCCGATTGCCAGGATTTGACCGTTCTCATGAGGCACGATAGCTGTGAGACACTCGTTGCAGATGTGAAACGCGGTCTTCGACGTATTCATATTACTCAAAATGTCGTACACTTCCAGTAAGCCGTTTTTATTTATAGTGAAGAACATTGAGTACCTAGATTTGCTCCAACAGGCTCCCTTTAAATCAGCGTATTGTTCCCTGCGCGCATAAATTATATCTTTTATTGTCCCGTATAATACGATATCAATGTTAATCTGAAAAACTACATGTTAGCATAAGTGAGATGACGGGAAATTATATATGTTTATATACGTGAGCATTTAGTTTGTCTCGCGCCGAGTATTTATAATTTTACCTTTTTTATGGTAATTAATTTATTAAACCTATGACGATTTTGACATACAAAAGTATAACAAAAGTTTAGTTGAAATTTATATATAATATTCATGCACAGCGATTTTCGCTCAAATCAAAATAAAAAAAAAAACATAAACGTGCTTTGTTAAAGTAGAGTTAATTTAGTTTGCAATTGTAACGAATCTCTAACCGGATGCTGAGCAGACTATAGTCTCTCATATCGTCTGTCCAGATTTGGACGGTCCAGTCGCCCACGGTGAAGAATATCTTTGATATGAAGGGATTCCGATCAATGGCAACGACAGGACCGACGTGACAGTTAAATCTCGTCGATAGTTTGTCTATTGGGTTCACCATTCTTCGATGTACGTTGATCACTACGCCGTTCTCCATGCCCACTAGAAATTTATCGCTCGTAGTCGGCTCAATCTGCAGAGCGGTGACACCGATCGCGCTAGTGACATCCGCTCGACGCGGATCGACCAGATCCATTACTAACATGTCGATCGGTTGCCTGAGCATCCTGATATCCCACCATTTGATCGTACCGTCAAAAGATGCCGAGAAGAACTCCATGTTGGTTTTGGAATAGGTCCAGAGCGCCTGGTTCGCCGGATTTCTTTCGCGCGTCGCCGATGAAAGCGGGAGAAGAAACGGGAATGACGGAGATTACAATTTGGCAGCGAAACGACAAGACTCTTTGGAAACGTTTTGCCGTGACGACGACAGAAATTGCAAACCGCGTTTATAAAAACGCAAGTGTTGCAATTTATTTCATTTTCTTCGTAGACTACTATTTTGCAGCATTGCTGCAGCAGTTTCATTAATTGGCACGTTTATAACGACGGATAATTGCTAATAAATTAATAATGAAATGCCATAAGAGAGGCAATACGGCCGCATTTTTTAAAGTTTTACAGATACAATTGACACATCATATTGATTATTCAGTGAAATATTAAAAATGAAATATCAAAATCTCATAGTTACTCACATTGAAGGTATTATAGAGAAAAATGATTAAAAATTATTAAAACAATCATATGTATAAGTTATCTAATAGTAAGCAACGGTGATAAAGTTTAATTAAATATCAAACATGTAATGTAATCCACTTATTTCATGCAGAAATGTTCGCACACATGTCGCTAACGATGTTAACACGATCTCGCAGTGATATCTGCGAGATATCTGTCATACCGAAGGCTATATTAATCCGAGTATCAGAAACTACCGTTTGCATGGATTTGCGGTGTTACTCTCGAAGGATATTTGCGATTCCGGAGGCCATACGTCAAAGTCAAGCGCGTTCAAGTTCTGGCCAATAATCTCGGCGGATAGGTGCAAGTTCCGAGAAACTTCCCATTCGGAGATAGATAGGTACCTGTGGCTAAACTGACGATGGGACATTTGCACTGGCCTATCCCCAATCCGGATGTCCCAGTTGCACACTTGGCCAGACATCAGCCCGCTAATCAGTATCGACGGATCGAGCGGATTAAACTCGGTGATAATTACCGGCGAGGAGGATCTCAGGCACGTTACCGGTGCGATTGGATTTTCTGTGACAAAACAAAGTTATGTATTGCAAACTTTTCAAAACTTTTTATTTTTTTCATCTTTTTGTAAACCAATTTTATAGTTTTGCTAAATGACTCGCGCGAAAACCTATACTCGTTTTTAATATACATTATCTCGAAAATAGCTTTATTGATGGATTCTCATCATATACGTAATTTGTTTTACAACGCTCATTGTTTGCGCCAATCCCATAAAGAATTTTACATTTGTCATATTACTTCACCAGAACTCATGTTACTCTGGATGCGTTTTTCTGTTTTATAGATGAGGGGGTTGGTTTTGTTATGTGATATATTTCTGTCAATACCAAACGCGCGACATAAACAACACGCGTGCACACCGCGACGTCTGGTATAGATATAAAGATTCATGTCAGTGAGACACATTTCAAATATTATGAAGGACTTTGAAACGACCAATCGATTTCCGCGACCGGAATCGGGACGGGCGCGAGTGACAGGTCGCGTTTGACGACGACACGATGAAACATACTTCCGATACGTTGTAAAACGTGTCACTCGACATCCTAGAAAAAAAAATCTGTTTTGCATGAGGTTGACATTATAGTGTACAGGAAAATTCAATAAAATTTGGGAACGCGAGAGGAAAATAAACTTTTTATGTAAAATAGAGCAACACTTTATTTAATGAAACATTTGAGTAATATATAATAAACAAATGTAATATATTAATATATAAAAAGAAAAATATCACGTATGCATATCACATTTAATATTCGATTACAAAGTGAATTCGAAGATCGATTTTTCTTTGTATTTTAAAATAAATTAAAATAAATTAAAGAACTTCTACTCTTTATTATATATTTTTGTAACTTTCTTTCTCTAAGTTGTTTCTAATGGTGTTTTCACTGACAAGAATGTACACAATTGCGGATACCACAAAAATATTTTCGTACCGATGTCCCATATGTAGGAGAAAGGATTCACATTGGGTGGTTTTGTTTCGAACTCCGTGAAACAGTAGGAAGCGACCAATCGATTCTGTGTGCCGGGTGACCACGACAGGTGGCTGACTGGTCTTACAATGGATTGCGGGTCTGTGTACAGGTTCGAAATCCTGAAAAAAAGCAATTTAAAAATCTCGTGAAATCCGTGTAAAATGGCATTTATTCGAAATTTGTTTTTCTCACCCAAAAATGTGTAAATTGCTCAACACGATAACGTTGCTCTCTTACAATGTTGATGTCCAATGTTTGGTTTTTTGTTCTCAATGTTTCGCGCAAAGTGCTTAATTGTAAGTAACAACAATTCTTCGATACGGTGAAACGAAGAAACGCTATTAGCGCTCGAAGAGAGGATGTAACGGCAATTCTTTTTATTTCGGTTGAAATGACCCGTTTTGTTTTGCGGGTTTGTCGGACATAAAAGCGAGATAATATTGCTTTTGTGATATCGTAAGAGTAAAGCGAAAACTTCATTCTCCGCTTTGTGTCGAGCAAATTGTTAAAACGCAAGTTTAGATTGGAGTTTTATCCAAATTGTTTTTTTCCTTCTCTTATTTCTCTTACTTCTTTACAAATGATTGTTTATTTCAGCAAATTTCAAATGAGAAAAGAGAAAAAAAGTTTTATAAACTATCATTGTTTTTTAAGGAACTTCAAATTTGTTTTCGGTAGCGTATCTGATTTAAGCTGAAAGCTAAGAGTAGTGTTTCTGTCACGCGCTATAAATTCAAGTGATAGAGCATAGAAGACGCGCGAAAATATTTAAATTATATTCGCCAGATAGAATAAGAAAAAGAAGAAGAAGGAAAGCAGATCAAACCGTTCACGGGGATCGATAGTTTCGAGAGCGTGTGGCACCTGTGAGGCGCAACATGTGTTTTGACGCGTGAGGAAAACGACGGAGAAAAATCGCGACTCGTGTTAAACAAGCATTGAAAGACGAAAAGACGACGAGATAAGAGAGCTCTTCCGCAAGCTTCTCGACAATAGCATCGCCAAGTGGTGAGACTACGCATCGATTCATGGATTTTCGTCTGACTCATAAATGAGTTAATAACCAAGCACGATAGGATAACGCAAGAGATAATGCAATGACAAAGTCCGTATGTTGAGCGTAAAGTTTCAAAAATAAATTACAAGATACAAGTTTAGAAAAGCTTTTTATACTGATTTTGTTATCGGGATTTTTTTTACGGTTTGAACGCGCAGAATCTGCCTTTGAAATTTACGAGATTCATGCTTCATCCAAAATCTGTAGAAAAACATGTCGCAACGGTAGTCTCGACAAAGATATGCGTTGTATGATAATTCCGTACGTGACGGCGATTTGCCGAGAGAGATTTAACCAGTCTGAAGAAGCCCGCCTCGAGCACGTTGACGCAAGATATCTCAAATATCCCTGAGATATCGACGATAGCTAGATTTAGAGTTTAATGCATGACAGCATCATTCGACACACACGCGCAATAACTGGTTCGAAAAGCAGGCGATTAAACATAGATTTCCAGATTTTATGAAAAATCTAATATAATTTGTCATTTTCATCCCTCAAAATATATTTTCTAAATGATGACAGATTGCGATTATCCGTTTTTGTCGTGATTCTATATGTAAAGATTGCCGATGCTTTTTATGGCAAAACTACAACATGAAAATTTCTCTACAACATACCTTATATTAAATGGAAGAACGAGCGCTGTTGGTATCATATCGTCAAAGTAGTGCTCGTATATATTGACTCTGTTATTTTGTTGTATGAGGTGCTCCATAGGCTAAGTGAATAAGATGAAGTAATTAGTTGATAACAAAATTGCCGGTTTACATTAGGCTTTTATCGTATTAGAAGTTTTGTGCTAGTAGTTAACACATGCACCTTTTAATTAAGCACAAATATATCAATTTCCAATTGCCGCCGTGGAAAATATACAATTAATTCTAATTTGTGACTAATTTGTTACCTAATTATGCATTTTGAATAAAAAAAAAATACTGACAATAATTTACACAGTAAAAATACATTTTGATAGCTAAATGTATATTTTAAATAAGATATTTCAAAGCGACTCACGTCGGTGAGCTTCTTCATCCTCGGCGCCCAATACTCGTCCTTCTCGACACGCCGGCGAAATCTCATCACGGCTTCCTCGTCCTTCACGTTTATCTCCTTAGGCCAACCACCCTCCAAGTGTAACATGCCGCACTCCTTTGTTGTCTTCCTGTTGGTTTGCATCTGACGCGCGTAAAAAACAAAAAGAGGCATTACGAGCTGCGCGTAACGCGAGGCGAAGTTACAAAAGCGACCTCGCCTATCTGCTTGTTCATCACTCTTAAGCGTTCTTTTATTGCAAAACGTAAAACATGAATATCCACGCTTAGCGCTCAAAACAACTCTCAGAAGCACGTCGTTACGTTAAAGCGGTTTACTTAAAAGAGAAAACGTGCAATCTGTCGCATTTGCTCGCTGCATTTTACATTGTCAATCCATATTTCCATCACGGCGCAGCTTACCTGTTCCATAGAATCGCAAATCTCATCTCACAGTATAGAGTTGATCGCATCAACAATTTACTAAGCACTTTAACGTAAACCCACGTGCTTGTCGCAGTGCGTGCGCCATCAAAAGCACGCTCTTATATGTCGATTCAATATATCAATATTATGTCCTGTCTTTTTATCAAATGCAAATTTTTTGTTGCAGAAAAATGTAATTGCACGAATAAGCATTCTCATCAAAGAACTGAAATTTTTAGTCCATTTGATTGATTTCAATGATTTCTGTACCTCATGAAGAGCGAATTGTTGGGACTTCTGTACACTACGGTTACAGTGTTTCTCACGCGTGTAATGTTGCATAAGTTTCGGATCTGGCAGGATATTCTCGTGCACGACGGAATCGGTACAGTTGAAAATGCATTGCTTGCCAAACTGCAATCTTTGCTTTATATACGGGTACTGGATCAGCATTGTTGGAAATCGTTTTTTGCGAAAAATGACATAAACGTAAAATAACAAAACGACAGCACGTACGAGCAAAGAAACGCTTTCTCGTTAAATTATTTACGAAACGGTTTGAACAAAAATCTGCGCGCACCGTTTATTTAACCGTAACATCGCGCATTTACTCTAACCATCGATATACTTTTCACGTCAGGCACGAACACTTGACGTCGACGTCGATCGAGATACGTGATACGCTCGATATAGCGTGAAGAACCATTAAGGCGATGTTCAACTTGTGAAACACGACACGCGAACGAACCGTGGCATGATACAGGAAGAATATCAGGTGTAACAACTTAATAGCTGTATCAAGCGATCGCGATTGTGTTCATCGTGTCGCTACCTGATGTACAGAAAACTGATGTGCTTGTCCGCTTGTTAGTAATAACAGATCCTATATTAAAAAAGGCATCCTATATAAAAAAGGGCATTTGGACCGAGAAGTACGCGTTTGGAGTCGAATCTATCGCACCTATTGTTGCCTCTTTTCCGCGTTGCCGATTGGTTGGTTGGTTGATCGAGTCGAATCAAATCAATAAGATCGAGAGAGTAAATAATGAAAAGCGATTTTGAGACAGGTCGTCGTATATGTAGAGAAAATTAAAAACGTAACTAAAGTCACGTGACAGAAAAGAGTAAAAAAACAACACGTGAAAATAACGTGACTGTAATTTATATTATATATAACATTAAATAATACATATTATACATATAATTTATTATATATTTATAATATTATACTTTATATTGTATTATATGTATTATATACATACTACTGAGTAATGTCATTGACCTCGGCCGCGCGGCCTTGGCGGGGTCACTGACCTCGGCCGCGCGGCCTTGGCGGGGTCACTGACCTCGGTCGCGCGACCGCGGCGGGGTCAATGACCTCAGTCGCGNGACTGCGGTGNAGTCACTGACCTCGGCCGCGCGACCGCGGCGGTGTTACTGACTTCGGTCACGTGATTACGGTATATATATATATATATACACATATATGCGTATGTGTGTGTATTATATATAGATATAGAATATTACATATAATATATATAATATTCTCTTTTTTACCCTTTTTCCTGTCACGCGACTTTAGTCACGTGTTGTTTTTCTACTCTTCTCTTTTTTTAGTTTTTGAGTTTGATTTTTATGTGTTATTTCTGATATCTCTCATTTGTACTTCATGGATATTATATGGTTTGTAAGACGTATATATTACCTGTCATCATATTTTATCGCGATGACAGGTTGTGTTTACTGACACAACACGTTAAAATAAAAACAATAACAGCGTGCGCGTAGCAACACTTTTGTTGCAACACTTAGAAACAAAAAATCTTCAACTCATCAAAAGTTTATCGTTTCACGAAATATAGCGCATCTTAAATCTGAAAGGAGAGATTCTTTCAAACTTGAAAGCGGATACATGCGAGAACGTAATGGAGTCCGGAGAAAAACTCTGTAATTTCTTGCGTGGAGCTCTGTTTCCGCGATACGGCTTTGTGCATCGGCGATTCGATTGCGCGGCAATTCGCCGCGCTGGATGCACTCTATAGAATTACGGGTACCGCGCCGCGTTACATTCTCGTGCCGGCGGGCCATCGCGATGACATTATCCCTTCGCTGAGAGCTCTCACAATTTCTGCGGTCCGCAATCCGGCTTCCGCCAATCAACGCTTTCGCGCCGCCCGATAAATCGGATGAGTCTCGCCGCCGGTGCGCTGCACCTAATAAATCAGATTCGACGCGGAGCCAGCGGCATTGTGATCGATTATTCTGCGTATACGCGAGAAATCTGGAACTTGGCGATATCCCAATGCTGGATTCAATTTGTGAAACCCTAATGGCCGCGCGAGATCGCGTCGTCGAAGTTTTAAGAAATTGGAGCCGCGCATTCGATATATCACGTCGTACTGAATCACGATAATTGAACGACTACGGTGGCATGAATGTGTAATAGAAAGCGATGTTTCCAGCAAAATAAAATTTTTCTTTCAACGGTTCTCTGTTTGGTTTATACGATATTGGTTTTAATAACCTTTATAAGATTTACTCCTGCACTTCCGAGTTGAAACTGTGGACTCTCTGTTGAACAGATTTGAAAACTCAATTTTTTTTATCTGCCATACGCGAACAAACGCGCAATTCAATTGAAATTACTGACGTGCATTCCATAACTATATACGTACATGTAACGATATTGTATGACGATATATATACATGTACGTCGCGGTTCTTGAATGCGAATCAAAGATCTATTTGTGAAATTGACGCAACCGCGACAGTGCGGACATACCTAAATTTAATGGCAATATTATTTCGCTGCGCGAGCGCAAGCTGCTGAATCGGAATTCGCCAATCAATGTCCTTGCACGAGTTTCTCAAATCGGATAAACCCCTAGATTGAGCCACTCATAATGAATCTGATCGATCGATCAGGCCGTGTATAGGTACGTGCGAGGACACATATCGAAGATGAACCCGAGCGCCGAACGCGCCGCTAAAGCGATTTAGCTACGGATTCGAAACTACGGTAGTGACGTCGCCAAATGGAAAGTTTAGAGTGGAATTCGCAGAACCTTGTCCATAATTGCAGAGTTCTCTGAATTTTGGCGGCAATTAGGAACATCGATGTATTCAATGGGACGATTCCCGGCACCAGCCAGCGAGTAATACGGCGAAATTGTAAAAGGAATGGAAAATTAGTTGGCGCGTATAGTATCGAGATGAAATGAGAAAAGCGATGGATTTACGCTGTAATGGCGAGATAATTTCAAAAATCACGTTTATGCAAAAGATCTAGGTAACTATTATGTAAATTTTCGATTCTACTTGAAATAATCACGACTTTTATCGTTTTTCTCTTTTTCTTTTCCCCTTTAAAAAAAAAAGAAAAAAAACGACTATATTACTTCGATATTACGACAATATTATTTACAACAATCGGAATTGATTCCGAAAAGTTACATAATAAGTAACTAGTCAGGAACGCTGACGTGCGTGAAAATTGCGATGTTGATGAAGTTACACTTGTCGCGCACTTCACTCATTACCTTACGAAACAAATCACACATATGTACACACGCACACGCTTTTGATACACATGTTGCTTCAAAATTTCCGATATCCACAACAGAAATTCTATATAAATTCTTCCGGCCACGAATAAATCATTTATTCCTGCGTTACAATGTTTTATTAATTTAATTGATTGATGCACAATACGTATCATATCTAACAGTATTTAAAAAAAGTTGTAACTCTTTGAATTTTGTGAAGAGGAGAAATTGATGGAAAAATTGTCAAAAGATAACGAGAGAAGTCTAGTGTGAACTCCGGAGTTTGGAACAAAAAAATGTTTTCAGCTTTCTGACGCAAGGTAAAGTGTGTCATGTTGTGAGTTTTAATTTACGTCGGTAGACTGTACGTCAAAAGACTTAGCTTATACCTACATTTTACACAGTAGAACAGTGTACTTCAATCCGCGTTATAATATTTATTTAAAAATCCGTTCTTGTGAACCGACGAGCTCTTAGCGAGAACGAGTATTGCGAACACGACGGGAACTTTATATCTCTTTCGTAAGCAATACGACTTTTCATCCAGGTGTCTACAAAGGCGCAGTATTCGTTTAAGAAGCCGAGAATACTGTCAGAAGACTTTGAGAACTTTATCAAGAAGAAATCTCGTTCATTCCAATGCAGAAAGATTTGCGAGACGAGCGTTCGGTCTGAATTCTTAATACTTCTATTAAGTAAAACATTAAAACAAATAGTTAACATGTTAAAGACGCCCCTAAAAATTTCACAACGATTACTTTCTTTGAATATTATTTCAAACAACGTCGTAATTTTATATAGAACTTTTAATACAATAGAAAATAATATTGCAATGAGTGATTGTTTCTTGCAAAGTAGCATTACCAAAATAATAATGACGAAGCTCGCACGATGGAAGAGCGCACAGTCTAGCTGTGAAAAAGATAATATAAGTTTAAAGGAACGGCAAGAATGTATCAAAGATTATCAACAATCTGCTGAGTTCCGTCAGAAGATGCGACGTAGCAACGATTGTAAGGCGTCTGCAAAATGTTGTCAAAATTTCAGAAGCGATTTATTGAATCATAAGGAATACTATCGATCGATTGAATCTATTTGTCCAGTTTACTCGGAAAAACCTGTACCATACAGCAATAAGCAAGAATGTGAATTAGATAACCACGTGTTTTCTTCAACGCGAATAATGAGCAAGAACTGGATTTCCAGAAAACTAGCCACGCAAGGAAAAATTTATCACAAATGTAAGCCAAAACTGTGTACTTTTTCTCATTTGACTAAACGCAAAGAAATATGCCTTTCATCGCGCACACCGCGAGACTGTCGCGAAAACAAAATGAAAAACATAAGAGGACATAAGCTGAAACAAAATGTGACTATTTTTTCTACGCAACACTGTTCCAAACCGAAAGTGGAATCTTCTCTCGAACCAATTAAAACGTTGCGTGAGAAAGAAATATCAGCTGTGAAAATTAAAGTGCCAAAAACATATTCTGCACCCGACATTTACGACGATCAGATAAAACTCAATCTTTCTGCCAATTTTTCCATTTCTCCCGGTCTTGCTAATAAGACAGAAATGAAGGTCCAGAAATTTCAAACGCCGACAAGAAATGGTCGTTATTTCATCGAGAAACCTGAAGAGAAACTCGTCATGTCGGACATCAGAGATTGCAAGCACGAGCTGGCAAGATTCGATTATCGATCGAGTAAGAATTCTTACAAGGAGATGTGGAGTATCATTGTAAATCGCAATTCGTTCGAAGACGTGCAAGAAAGGCAAAAAGCTTCTTTATCTCGCGGTAGAAGGACAAAGAAACTGAAGTCGCGACAGAAAGAAACTACAAGGAAAAATAAGAAGAGAATTAACTTGCGTAGCGGATGGCTTCGACAAAAATATAAAATTCGTCTGAAGATTTTTCGAAAAAGAAACGGACGCGATCCCGGCCTTCCGCAGATTGTCGAGCTAATACAACCGCGTGGAAAAATGCGATCATTCCCGCCAAAAGTGCCACGAAGGAAAGCGAACTTGCGCCTCAATTGAAAAGTCCGTGTCCGCTCGATTGTCTACTCAAATCGCCGGATGTCAAGACAAAAAGTTATTCAATGAAGATAAAAAAAAAAACAAGCAAAACGAGCGCTTGCGGGCGAAGAAAATATTCTCCCAAAAAGCATTGAACTGAACTTTTAAAGCTATTTTGAAATTTGCTCTTTGTTAACATTAAAATTGTATAAATTGTATACCTGTACTTTTAAATCTCACGTTCATTTTTTATATCTAAAATAAAAGAATAAAATTTTAATATCACGAATAAACGCAATAAATATTGAAATCACAATTTAGACGGAAATATTATTTAATTTCGCGCTAAAAGCGCGGTGGCGATAAGAACTTAAACAACAAATAGAATTTGCGTAGAGTACTCGGCGTTTTATTCATTCATTCTGCTTGGTTTATATTAATAACAAGTAGCGTAGCAGAGCTTTGTAAGTAAAATATATGCACAATGCATCCAAAGGTGGCATTATAAAGAGGTGCAGGAGAGAAGCGTGGAAATGAAAAAATGCAGCTCGCACGGATGGCCCGAAACGGCTGCGAAAGAAGTCCGCTCGCAGCAGCTGCGCGGGCTTCCAACTTTTCACGTTTATCATTATCTCACCCTCTCCTCGTACGCCCTTATTTTTGTACCCGGTGGAACAAACTTGCGCATCAAACGTCGCTGTTTTATGGCCGGTATATATTTTCATTTCCGTCGTAGAATGATATATCTCGTAGCCCTAATAAACGCGACTCGGGATTTAGCGGGCATTTATCTTGTCTACATCGTCGGGAATATAATAGGAAAAAACGGCTATGCGAATTCTCGTTAATCCAATTTCAATTCAGAGCGCGGTGGTAGATTTTGCATTTGACGGCGAGTCTACATTCTCAATTTGATTTTTATTTAATGTTATAAAACTGATATATTATAAATTATTATTGGAGCTTAAAAAATACGTATATACGTATATTTTAATTTTACGTTTATTTTAATTAGTATGGACAATATGATTTATGACATGTAGGTGCATTTCTTTTGCACGCATAAAACTTGATTTATATATTTAACCCAGCCTCTTTACTTTTGGTTTGCTCATTCAATGAGCTTGTTACATCGCTCTGATGATTCTAAAATTGCAACCTGTCTACAAGTACGTTAACCCATATTCCGCAAGTACCTATCTGCAAGTACATTAACCCATGTTTTTTTCTTTACTGAAACGGCGCGCAATTAAGGAGCACGGTAAAATTGGCAAGAAACGAACGCCACTGGTAATGTTCACGATCGTTGGCTCCTAATTGAACGCTGACGAATAACCGCTGCTCTTCGGTCAGTCGTTATCTCTATAACAAACGGAAATAATAAAAACCGCCAGCGATATTTTCATAATATTTATACGGAACGGTCTGCACTTTGTTGCAGATAAACAATGATTGGTTCCACATGGAGCATCGATCCGTGGAGAAGAGGTCAACGGAGCCGCATCTCCAAATGCACCAGAGACTAATGAAAGACTTCAGAGTACGTCGAGCGGAGCAACAGCGGGCGAAATCGCGAACCAAAAGGGATCTTATAATCAAACGTCCGTCCAATACACCAATCATGTTGAACGACGACAGGTGGCCTCAGATGTGGTATTTGGTAAGTAGTTTTAATTTATGCATTATTTTTTTATATTTTTTTATTTAGGACGATTCTTCCAAAATAATTTTATAATACGCGTTACAAGATAAATTATATACTATTGTACTCAATTATTATTATTATAAAAGTTATTATTATTAAAGTTATTATTATTATAAAATATTGTAAACATACGTATATACAGTAATTTTGTGTATTACGTGTAATAACACAATTTACGTTTATCTCAGTGATAAACTTTGAGCATTTTTAGTAAATATATATATAAGCGTACATAGAGCTATATTTTTTTTATATCTTAACTTTTTGAAAAGTAATATCGCGGTTACCAAGAATAATACAGTTAAACGAACTCGACAGATATCAACTTCTTAAAAAGAGCGCTACTTTATATCGTAGATATAATTAATGCCGTTTTATGGCCGGTATATAGATATAAAGTAGCGCTCTTTTTAAAAAGTTGATCCACGTTTACCGACTAAAAGTTGATGATGTAGAGAGAGATGTTTGATAATTTTTCTTTTCAGAACAGGGGAAAAGGATTAGACATGAATGTGCAAGGCGCTTGGGCCGAGGGAATTACTGGAAATGGCGTCGTAGTCACAATTCTCGATGATGGATTGGAGAAGGATCATCCTGATCTTTTAAAAAATTATGTAAGTATTTGAATTAAAAGTTTTAATACACACACACACACACACACACATTTTCTATTAAAAGGATTTTAGTTTTTTGATTCCATAAAATCAGTTTTTGTAGATAAACTAAACACATTCATATGTGTGTTTTAATATTAAAAAGTGCTAATTAGATTTTTTACAATTAGAGTATATTCAATATGAAATATTATACAAATCGGACCACTCAACCACTTTTTCATATTTGATTAAAGTGTGTTATAGAATTTTTTGTTGAAACTATCGTAATCTAATAAAATAGCTTTTTGTGTAATTACTTTGCGCTAATAAATCGTAAATACTAATATTTGCGTACTATCGCGCGCGACGAATGAGTTTTGCGTATTTTTGTCAAAAAAGAGAGGAAAAAAGAGAGGAAAAAAATTCCAACTGAGTGCACAAAGAATATGGCAGATGAAGGCGTATACGTGAAAAATATCAGCTGTTGAGCGCGAATATGGAAAGAGGTTATCCGGCGTGCACGTGTATGCCGAGCAGCTATTGATTCACAGATGGTCATTGAATGAAATACCTGCAGTAAAAGGTGAATCGCATTAATCAGTTATGTAGTAGAGGTATTGCGCTTCAGTGCATTACTCTGATTGCGTGAATTTTTTACGATCGCGTAGTCATTTCTTATTATGCAGTTAAATACTTAAAGTAAGAAAACCTTTAGATATACATCATTCATGATTAAAACGTAATATTTCATTTTTTCAATTATTATGAATTTTATATTATATACATTTACCTTTATATTCTTTGTAAATTTTAATTTGTTATTTTCACTTTTCTGTTTCAGGATCCGCAAGCGAGTTACGACGTTAACAGTCACGACGAAGATCCGATGCCGAGGTACGATATGGTAGATAGCAATCGCCACGGCACTAGATGCGCCGGTGAGGTAGCAGCCACTGCCAACAATTCTTTGTGCTCTGTAGGCGTTGCTTTTGGAGCTGGCGTGGGTGGTAAGTGATCCTAGAAGAAATGTTGCTTTTGTTAAGTCTTCAAGGAGTACGTTATATTATAACATCTAACGATAAAAGAAAAAGCTTTATTATATTACATAGAATTATATTATAATTAAATATTATATTACATAGAATTCTTGTTCATTATACAATCGAGTAATGTGAGATTTTCAGACAAACTAAGAATTAGATATTAGAAAGATGTTTTCGAATTCTTAGTTAAAGCAGAGAATTGGCAGAATATCAGTTTCTCGGGAATGACAGCTCAATTTCGAGCAATCACTTGTATCAGCTTGCAGTTCTGTTTCCAATTAGTAACGGTGTAGTCGGCGTCGGAACTCGCGCTTGACTACGATCGACATGTATTTGTAATATGCAAAATTGATATCATGATGCGTCATTTTCAAATTGGAATCGAGCTTGGCAATAGCCTGTTACATTCGGAACTGATCCAAATCGTAGCGCGGATACCCAATTCCGACCTTGTAAATTGGATCCTATGCACCACGTGCATGCGGGAATTGTGTGGGATAATTAACTCAAACATGAAAACGCATGACCATTTGGAAACTCCTGATACACGTACATGTGTATCGTTGAATATTCTAAAGAGAAAAGGATTTATATATAAAAAAAAAATATGTAAATAGTGCGATATATAGTGCTAGCGAAATGATTATTAATTTAGTTATTTTTTATTTTTGCACAGGTGTTCGAATGCTAGATGGCGATGTAACGGATGCTGTCGAAGCGAGATCTTTGAGTCTGAATCCTCAACACATCGACATTTATAGTGCCTCGTGGGGGCCTGATGATGACGGAAAAACTGTAGACGGACCTGGTGAATTGGCTACTAGAGCTTTCATTGAAGGAATCACAAAAGTAAGTGCTTTAAATATCCTGTGTTAACCCTTTTATTACGATGTGTACGTGTGCACGAGAGTGCTTTCTCTGTACGGAGAAGTCCATCGTGAATACCTATTTTGTAGATAGAGAAAAATATGTGTAGTTTTATAACATGATTGTCTAAATGTTAATTAAAAACTGAATTGATATAAAATACTGAGCGCCGAGTATCGACAGCTCGTTACGTGGATGCCGATTATAGTAGGCACTCGCGTATACAGGTTCTCGTATAGATGCTGATTTTAAAGTCGGCGTTAGGAATAAAAGCGTTAATATAAGTGTATTTACTTCTTTGTTATCACAATCTGTCACTCGCACAAAAGACAAAGAAAATTAAAAAATCTTATCTCAGTATCTTCAACTTCTGTGATTGAATACTGTTTTTATACGAGAGAAATAATTTTGTTTATAGACAATTAAATTTCAAACACTTTGCAAATTTCCCACATAAACGTATTTTATGTTTTCCTCGTGTACATTATTTAAACGTTATTTGTTTAATCGAAAAATTATTCATTGATCGTATTTCTGGTAATAATCTTAATTGCCATATCTTTTTCGTTATTACGTCTTTGACGAGCTGAAAGAAAGTATGCTAGATGCCCTGGAGCATCAAACTTCGACGTAGTAGCGTAATCCACTTAGGACTGCAATTTTCTTCGCTATAATTTCCCGCGCTATGACAAGATAAATGCAATTAGCTTTACGAGGTATCCGCTACGACACGGAAGCTTCTAGGTTGCCTCGAGACGCTTCCTTACTCTCAAGCGTCAAGCAGCGAAAGATTTTCAAGTTTTGTTTATAGGTTGTTAAAGCGATACATAGAACATCAATAACAACACAATTTCAATACGATATTTCTATTCAAAAATCAATTTTTATTTTAAAAAACTGAAAATACTTTGCATTTAAAAGCAATTTGCACGCTTATGTTCAAACTAATTTCTTCACATACTGATACTTTTCTTAGAAAAGTAGCGAGCGCTGATCGATAAGCTATTTAATGCGACGGTACAGTATTGAAATGCCGATGTGACAAAATTGTTCGCACGTAATTGAAGATTGTTACGCTTCAATCTTCCATGACTTCTCTTTAAAATCGAAATTCTTTTGGAATTATTCTTTATGTTCCAGCTATTCAAATCTTTGCTCAAAGAGAACTTAATGGCTTGTTAAGAAGAAAATATAACAGCTTTTGTAATTAGAGTTTAATTTCTTTGAGATCAAATTTTTTGCTCTCTTAATTTCTTATATTTAAAGAAATGTATTTTAACTTGCAATGTTTTTTTTCTCGAGAACTACAACACACAGACACAAAAAAAAGTTTCTTTAAGAGCCGTAACTTTTGCTGTTACGAAGTTCTTCGAGACTTTTAATAAATATAAGCCATAAACCTTTAGATTTTTCGGTAATTGTTTTCTATTATAATATAAATATTATTATTGCCAAACAGATATTTTTTAAATATCTGTTTAGCAATAATACTTTGAAAGAAATTTGTTTCCTTACATAGAATATGTTTGTATTTGTTTCGTTTATAGCCTTTTTCTTTCGAATCTAGTTAGAAGCAAAATTCGCTCGTTCATTATTAATTCGATTTATGTGCTCGTGTCCGAACAAACGCGTCGCGGGATGAAGTGAAATTCGCACAAATGTATCACGCAAAAGCATTCCCCGAGATCTTCCGAGTTTCATCGGCGACAATAGCCATTGTCATCTCGATGTATGTATATGCCTCGCGCGGAGGCGACTCTTCGATCGTGTTCGCAGCGTTCCTTTATCGCGATCCTAGAATGGCGAACTTTAGCACTGAGAGCATCTTTGCTTCAAGTAACGATCATTAAAGCGCAGATACTCACTATTAAAGAGGAACTATCAAGAAATTGTAGAGAAACTCCGATCTTTAGTACAGCCCGTTTCGGTTATTCACGAGTTATGTAATCATGCCTCATTTTGCGAGACACTGTTATAATCGTCAATAATTCAAGTTAAACAATTTACGTACTTTACACACATTTAAGAGATATAATATTAATAAATAATCAATTTTCCTTATGTTAATGGTTTTTTTTTACATATTTTGATTAAAACAAAAACAAAAACAAATATCGAACTTTTTTTCGAATTTGATATCTTTTTGTCGTAATTAAAACTTGTACTTAGTATCGAAAAACTCATTTTTTTGAAGTAATTTCCTCCCGACTGTATCACTTTATTAACCACTTTGAAATGCGTGGACGATTAATTTCTTTCGACGCCGATGTTCGCGTCATATAGTCGTTGGACTGAACGATGATAGACGTAATTCGATTAATGGCGACGAAGAACTCCTTCAGACCCGGTTTAATAGACTCTCGCCGGCGAGAGGTCAGCTCTCGGAAAGTTTCTAATTGGGTGCTTTTAAGCGACTGGTTGGCTTGAACCGCGCACGCTAGCATGTATTGCCATTTTAGGCTCACTACTGACGGCGTGTAGTCGTAAATCATATGCAAATGTCAGTACGGTCAGTGTGAAACTTTGTTGGGATATATGGTAACTATTGTATATACGTCTTCTTGAAGAAGAAATTATTGCATTTTCACATATATTAATTATATAATATTGTTTATTATCAAAATCTTCTAAGCTCTCCTTCCGAACAATGTGTGTGTGATAAACTTATTTGTATATTATACTACTCATCAATGTGCTCAGTATTCGCGAAATACAAATGACGTTGATTCTATAAAGCCACTTCGTTATCTTCGCAGCAGCTTGACTTTGCTCGTAGCTTGACTTGCACAGTAGTAGATATTTAACAATGACAATTCCCTTTGAAAGCGTATCAGATTATATCTATCTTATATTCGATAGACGGATGAATATATATGTACGGACGTATTCGGAATTCTCTTTGTGGTCTGTTAACAGGTTCTCGATAATCTCACCCTTTGGTCAATACAGCCGAAATTAACTACAGTATTTGCATTTTGGATATAAGCGATGGATAATTGTATGAATTACGGTACGCGTTTATGTTAAATTTAACTACTTCATACATACAATTCTTTTTTGGATTTCTTTATGGCGACTACAGTTATGTTGTTTTGCTCGATAGATTTATTCTGTTGTTTTACTTGATAGATTTAAATAAATGTTTTTAAAAATAGAAGTATCGTGTAGAGTAAGACAACTAAGATATTTGTTCCAATTTCTAGAGTAGAGTGTTTATTAAAGTACATTTTATTTGCACTTAAGATTGAGTAAAATAGTGTTACCTGAACTTACATTGCTTAATTTTAATACAATGTTAATTAATTGTTATTATATAGCAATAATAATTTTCTTACCTATAAGTGTTCAATGCAGCGATACACCATCGATCTTTATCACTTTACGATCAAATAGCCTGTACTGATCAAAGGCTCGAACGCTATATTACTGAATTAGTTAACGGTGCGTCTCAAAGAGAGTTCAGAATTCGTGGTCACGCCTACACTGCCTGGTCTTATCACGAGATAACTAAATCCTCTTTTCTTATAATCTTATAGTAAAATAAACACCTGTAATCTCATTGAAAGTAGACAATGTATATTATGTGTATTGCAAGTTTGAAAACATATATTTGTGTAAATAAATAATAAAAAACTATATATATATTTTTTATATTCTATATATATATTTCTTTTTTTAGTCAAACAAGATTTATATATACTTTATATTCTTTTTTTAGTAAAACAAAATTTATATATTGTTAGCAAGCATTGTTTAATTAAGTAATTACTAGTAATGATTGCTGTCTTTTCGAAGAATCTCTAACACTTTTGTTTTTAAGTAATTGATCACATACTACACGATTCGTTTCTCATTAATTAATTTTTAATCTTGCCGAAGATCAAGAATTCAATTTCTAAAATTCTTTGATCTTACTTGTCAACAGTATATATATGTATACAATATTTAGGAAAATTGTCGTTACGTGCTCGAGGCAATTTAGACTCGACTCTAGACCATTAGCTAAACATTCAACTCAATCGATTTTCTAACAATAGTTCCGTTTCGAATCATCCAACACTGTGTGTCTTCGGCCGCACAATGAAAACAGCTTTAGCATGCAAAATGTCTCAAACTTCTAAAGTACTTTAAGCGTCTTAAAGCCAAGTACCTATTAGGTAAAAAACTCTAAAATGTGTCTGAAGTATCTAGATTTACTTTGGCTTGACACTTTCAGCATTGAATATGTTTGTCACATCGTATTAAATAAATTCTTTGAGTGATGCAATAGAAAAACAACGCTTATATAAAACAAAAAAAAGATATATATATTTCTTTTTACATAGACATTTTTAATTATAGTATAATTATCTGAATCATATATATATCAAGTCGAAAGTGTGTTATTTATTTCCGGTCGGATTAAAACGAATTCGTCGATTTAATTGAACGTCAGGGTCGCAATGGCAAAGGCTCGATTTTCGTTTGGGCATCCGGGAACGGAGGTCGGGATCACGACAACTGCAATTGCGACGGCTACACCAATAGCATCTGGACCTTGTCGATCAGCAGCGCGACTGAGAACGGTTACGTACCTTGGTACAGCGAGGCGTGTTCGTCTACTCTCGCTACCACTTACAGTTCAGGCTCTACCGGTGAGAAACAAGTCGTCACTACGGATCTGCATCATCATTGCACGAGTAGTCACACTGGTACATCCGCTTCGGCACCTTTAGCGGCTGGTATTTGTGCTCTCGCCTTAGAGGCGAACAAAGATCTGACCTGGAGGGACATGCAACACATTGTGGTCAGAACCGCCAAGCCTGCGAATTTGCAAGCTTCCGATTGGGTGGTCAACGGAGTTGGTAGAAACGGTGAGCTTTTAGTAAAAGAAATACTGAGATTTTATCGACAATTAAATGATAGTTGAACATATTTTAGAAAAACAATAATTTTATTAGAAAATAAAAACGTTACAAAAATAAAATAATAATAGATTATTTTATTTTTTTATATTTGTGCTAATTTTCTTTTTTGTATTCTCTTTTAACATTTTATTTTTATAAATTAAAATTAATCAGAGTATTTTCTCAACTTTTCTTCTATTATAATAAAATAATATAATAAAATAATATAATTACTATCTTATTTATTTAAAATAAAATAACTTGTAATGCGTTGCGATAAAATTTAATATTCAACAGTAAGCCATAGTTTTGGTTATGGCTTAATGGACGCCACTGCCATGGTACGTTTAGCAAGAAGATGGAGAACTGTTCCGGAACAACACAAGTGCGAAGTATCAGCGCCGCATACAGGCAGGTAAGAAGAAGTTGTAGATTATGTTATTAAACAAAAGTAATTTAAATGTAGTATTTTTATTCGGACATGTCGGTCTTATCTATTCAAGCACTATATGAAATTGCACGGCAGGAATTACGTTTAATACGATTATATTGTCGTGGCTTGTAACTTGACGAGAAATTACATTCAGCGCGATTCAAAGAGATAGAGATATAAAGTATTAAACAATGCGTATTAAATAAATAAAAAATATTAAATAATGCGTAATTAACTGGAATGAAAAAAGACGTATATTTACTTATAAAAATACTTGCAAAAACTTTGATGCGCGAGATCTTGATTCGATTTTCATTCACTTTTCAGACAAATACCGCCGAAGAGCCAATTGGTTCTCGACTTACATGTTAAGGAGTGCAGCGGCGTTAATTTTCTCGAGCATGTTCAGGTATTATTATTATTATTATTATTATTAATCTTAGATTATGTCTCTGCTAAAGTGTGTATGTGTGTGTAAGAAACATGATAAAGTACTAACACACACGTGAAGAGTGTGATTGGCGATAATGGCGCAATGATACGCTTGTCACAGGCAAAGGTATCGCTGATGGCAGCAAGACGAGGAGATCTTCAGATACAGCTAACGTCTCCTCAAGGCACCAAGAGCACTCTTCTCGCTAAGAGGCCGCACGATGTCTCGAAGGCTGGTTTCACTCAATGGCCATTTATGTCAGTGCACACATGGGGAGAACGACCGCATGGCATTTGGAAGTTAGAAATCCACAATGAGGGTCGGTACTTCGGTAAGTTAGTCATTTTACTCGAACAATAACAACCAATTCAATTACTCGGTTACTAATTGATGCCCAATTAATAGAAATTTTCTGTATTTTCAATGTTATAGTTTTCATTTGTTAAAACTTAACTAATTAAAATTAATCAGCTAACTTATTTAGCGTTAAAATTACTAACATCGATATTTTCATACATTAGAGAAGACTATATATTATACGTTAGTAAAGCATTGCATTAGATTCAAACGTCATAGGCAAAGCGCTTCGGAGATTACGCCAGCATTAGCTCCAACATTCGAAGATGTCTTTCGCTGAGATCTAAATTTCAAATAAGACTCTACCTAGTTTGCTATAACAACAGTTTCCAAGTGTCTTAGCAGTACTATTATAAGGTCACAGTTACTAAGTTCTTCACTTGCAGAAAGCATCTGCATTTGTCAGCCGAAATGTCCGCAAGTATTTGCAAGAAGAAACTTGCTGACACATCGACATCTAGTTTTTACTCTTTCATATCGAAATAAATAATAAAATCAGCTTTTCTCGATAAATTTTTTTCTCTTGCGATCTCGATGATTATCTTTATCTAATTGGAAAAAAAAAGAAAAAAAAACAAAACATGTGTTGAAACGATTAATCAATTCATATTTGTAATATCCGAGCGGAATGGCTTAAACATATCTGGAATTATATTTGCATTCTGCAATGCGAGTTGGTTGTCCATTCGGCAGGATTCCTATGATATTCCCGCAGTTCGGCTTGTGTCTGGGACGCCACTGAGAAAGCTCTTACATAAGCCCCATTCGCGCGCAATCATTAAGGAAGTGCATTATCTCAAGAGATGGATAATTGCCAAATTCGAGCTATATCCTTCTCGCAAAGTGTCCTCGACGGCAAATAGCGGCGAGACGTTTCGCGACTAACATAGCCAATCTTTAGTAAGATGTGAGAGCGTTAAAACCACCTTCAAACTGTTTCCGCGACGACTCATCATGACCGGTGACTGTGTAAACGTCCTGAAATGTTTCTTCTTCGAACAAGTTAAGCAAATAAAAATTCAAATTGCTTAGAATGTTATTTTTAAAATCGAACGTTTCTTGAGAGTCTTGATAATCGTAAAAATTTCGGACATCTCGAAGTCGTGCTGATACTTCTCGATAAGCTGCTTCGCCGAATTACATTTAATATATCTGATCTGTACGTTTAGCTTTGATATTCTTATACTACACATTCTGCGTTATACGATACATCAGTGAACGCGTAAAATCTTCCCTTTGACCACGACATCCGTTTTTTTTTCTGCTGCATTCTGGATCAGGACGCGCGACACTGCATGAATGGGCGTTGATCTTCTACGGCACAGCGACACTTCCCGACAGAACAGAATACGCTCTCTACAACCCGGCCGGTATAAGTATGCCCAGACGACCGTTTGTGAAGCCGCGCGAGACTTACTCAAAGAGCCAGAACACTCTGACGAAAGGCAACAAACAGGCACAGCATAAATCCGACAAGTCCGGCAATCTGAATCCTCTTTATGTAACGAACGCACAGAGTCAGTCGCAGAGGAAGGGCAAAGTCCGCGGACAGCACAAAAACGGTAAATCGGCCAATAAACCGAGTCCGAAGCCCACTGCTCAGACTCTCCGGGGTCTCACAGGAATCAATAAAGGAGCCAATAGCGTAGCCGGAGAGATGCGCTTGATCACATCAAGACCACGCGGCAGAAGTACACCCAGTCCGATCACATCGACCCAAGTGATTACGACAAAGACGCAGATTGCAGTGACGACCAGACACAGGATCGTCGACCTGATAACTGCTTCGCCTCTGCAGAGAGGACTGATCTTGTTGGAACCACCGGCGAAGGCGGCCACCAACAAAGTGCCAGCGGTATTTCAACAGTATCCCAAGATCCAGCAACTTTATCCGGTTTATGGAGGAGTTCGTGGCATCGGTCAGCAGCACGCCACCAGAGCCAAAGGACACGACCTGCTGCAAGACGAGCAATTTGACCCGAGAAACTTGCAGCTTGACAAGGGTATCTACATACCTTTAAACTCGAGTCGGCGAGATGCGTCGAATGTTTAGTGGCGCGATCGGAAGCTAAGTTTATATATATTTAAAAGAGAAAATCAATATTAGTTTAATGGATAAACAGTTAATTTTTATCTTTAATAAAAAATGCTAAAAAAAATAAAAGAAACTATATTGTGACAAAAATAATTTAAATTTATATATTAAAAATAAATTACTTAACTTACAAAATATACGTTTTCAGTTTATGTCTATACACCTGACAATTCTAAAGAATCAAAAATCAATGCTCAACACAATTACAGTGTTAATAATCTGTATTGAGATCCGTATTCTGTTTGCTATTGAACATTTTTGCGAAAAAATAGCATTGCAGGTAAAAGCGGAAATACGCAGTGACCAATGACATCAATCTATCAACACTGTTGTTAGCCAGCGGTGGTATTTTGTAGGACAACAAAGAGTATCGTTTCGTAGCTTCCGATCGTTTTCCATTCGCTTCCACGCGTCCGTCCACGCGTGTTAGAAAGTAGAGATGCGGTATCACGCGCAAAGCCTCGAAGATTAAACGAATCCGTTGAAATTTGGTTTTTTTACATTATCTTTTTCTTGTTAGCTGTTTCGCTTTGATTACGACCACATTATAGTCACCTTCGTTTGCACAATAAAATATGTTATCTATATTCGGCTATTAATACATAATACTTTAGTCTAAACAGCCGCATATTTTGCGTTATTTCCACGTTTTTGTTATCTCAAATTATATGTAGATTGTTCTATGTGAAGTGATTTCACTGCATGTTTTGCCAAATAATGAAAAATTTTTATCGATAATGCTTCATTTTTCCTTATGTGAGAATAAAAAATATTTATAAAGTGCTTTTACATAAAATGCATCATTTGTTTGTTTGTTTGTCGGATCATTTTATACGAACATTCTACATATATGCTATTGACACTTTTAGCATCTATAGGTAGTTGAATGAATCTAGATAATGAATCGTAAGTAAAACCTTATTGTTGCTGTTTGATATATCTGTGATTTATAAAACGTTATAATTTTATGTGTAACATTATTGTGCTTAGTTTGTAGAAATTAATGAATTGGTTACTTGATAATTGATTATAGCAGAAAATCTTTAAGAATACATTGTGTGATTTGAAAAGAGCACATTGCACTTGTGTATTTTGTGGAAACATTGGTGTTCATTAAGTTAGGATCTACACGTATAATTGTTTGCATGTTTAATGTGCACGAAAAAAATAAATTGAAAATATCTTTTTTTTTTATATCAGACATCGGATTTTTCTTTATGTGTTGTGACACTGACTGCGTTGCTTTTTTTTGTTGCGTTATAATCGAAGTATCTTGCGAGAGTGCTAGGTCGATAATAGGAAAACTTATCTAGGCCGATAGCGCGCACTATGGCCTTCAATCAAAACTTCCAATGACTTGGTTATCGATGAGCTTCGTGTACAGCCGCGTTCCTGTGTGTTGGCTATCTAATGTATTGCGCGCATGTACTGTTTTGCATCCCTGGAGCTCAGATCGCGTTGTTTCTCGATGAAAATTGATGGCATGCTACTTTTTGATCTTCCGTTCTTGTAAAATATAAATGAAAACTTATCGTGTTTATTTATCAAACGCAGTCTTTAGCGTTTTTTAATGTCTCTGATTAATGTTTATATATAGTTATGCTATATGTACATATATATGTATATAAGATTTTCTACATGTGTGAGCGTGAAATATTCTGATATTAATACTTTCGAAAATTTTATTTTCTCCACTGCAAATTTGCAGTAGTGTTCGTCAGTGCGCGTTACGCTCGTTATCTCCTTTTCGAATCCTCGAATTCTAGAGCGACGTGCAACCACAAATCGCTCAAAATTCAATGAAACGCGGCGACGCGAACGACGCTGAAAACCGCTAATGCGTGCTGTGAAATGGAAAAGCCAACGCGAACGAATGAACCCCATCATGGCGGGAGACCAAGAGCGGCTTCTCTCGTCCATCATCGTTGCTAAATAATTTCCGCCGTGATTGGAAATTTTTTCGCTCGCTTGCTCAGCAAAATGGTTTTCGCTCTTGAAGTATTATTATCAAGACACGGTCCTCCAATAGCGCGCGCTAACGACCCTACGAGTACAATGCCCTTACGTTCCATTGTTTTGCAGACAGTCACGCTGTTCTGATCGACTTTTGACATTTTTATTTCCCTTTTCCCTTCTACACTCTATCGTCTCTCTCATTTCCCTCATCCCGGTTGCTGTCAAGTTATTTTCTCGATACTTTTCGTAAAACGACAGCCGTCCAGTTGTCGCGACGCTTGACACTTTATATTTCACAGCCACCTTGCGCTCCCGTAACAGGGGACACTTTAACGACGACTTTATTACAGGCGACAACCGGTAGTTTACGTCCAAACACCGACGAGAGAAAGAAGAGAACCACACACGAGAGTAGTTTCGCGCAGCAGCGACAAATTGAATTCCACTTTTCCGTCGCTTTGATTTTCGCTCGCTCGTTCGTCACTCGTTCTATGCTTGCGAAATTTAACTTTTCCCACGGGAAGTGATTTCATTTCACGTCATATATGTATGTTTCAACGTTGCAGGCTCTGTTTACGGAAATAAGATATTAATATTAATATAACGAGAAAAGTTAGTCCGTTCCTTTTGGTGAACATTTCATCTCGTGAATGTAAATAAATAACGAGAGAAAAAGGTATATGTTACGATATTAAAATCACATTATAATTTTATTACAAAACGATTTTATTCTTTAATAGAAATCTCTTTGAATTCAGTTTTGTATTATATGCAAATCCCTTGTATGAACTGTACCAGCAGCTGAGCATTATGTCAGCTTGTATCAACATTTAACGATTAATCGTGAGAAAGCGCATTATTTAAAATAAGCTTCCACGCGTAGCTCACTTTTCCGTCTTGCTCGGAGCGCGGAAACGTGTACTTAGTCCGACGACGTAAAAACGATAATCGCTCGCAAGTTTTCACCATTTTCTCGTCGAGAAGCATTTTGCATTTAATTTTGACGTACATATTTCGAATAAATAATGCGCGCGCGAGTTGTCACTGATTATTCGGTTATTTTTAACCCTAATTTAATCAAAACTCGACTTTTCTTTCCGTCTGCGCCGTTTTTTTGCGGACATCGTTTCTGCGAACGAGTTTAAGGCAAAATTTTCCCCCGTGGCGTGATGCTTTATTAATTTCCCGACGGCGTCGTAGACGACGTCCTCCGTCATCTCAGTTTCCACAGTCTCGCTCGCGTTTGGATCTTATGAAATCTTCAATTTTACCAGTCTCACCATTTCTGCGAGATTCAATACCTCGTGCATTTGCGAGAAAGTGAAAAAAGCGCGTTGTTTTCAATAGATAGAGAAAGTTTTAGGCAATAACTTTTATGAAAAATACATTCACTGAATAATAATGAATAATAATGATTTCTACGATACTTTTATTTAGACTGTGATTGTTTTTCGCTTGACGTTCGTCTTGATCACTCTATACTCATTGCGCAAAAACTACAATACGTATTACACTAATATTTTTATACTGCACGGAAACAAAGTATTTTACAAGTTTATTCATCAAAATCTTTCACCTTTGAAAATGGTTGCGAGATCTTCAAGCTTGCATTTTCAGGAACTACAGTACGTATTTTCATTGAACTTGGTTGTAATCATGTCTGCATGTGTGTATTTAATGTCATAATAAGTACAGTACGTAAGTTATTGATAATTATGTTATTATTTAGCTTTTTGCTTAAAAACCAAAACTTTGGGTTTTTGGCACGTTTATATTTATTTATATTTTATTGTTAACAATGCCGAGGGCACATAAAAATACATCATTTTAATCTTTGATTTTATAAACATTTTAAAAACGTTTCCAAATGTTGAATATATACTGAAATGAATATACACAGGGATAAATACGTTTAGTTTTACAACATATAAAATTGTTATTGATAAAAGTATATATTTTTTTGCACAATATCCTTTCCTGGTTTCTATAATTACTTTTATCCCTGAATTTTATGTAGACGCAAACCAGCTGAATTATTTTACTATAGGTGATATTCCAGCTACACTGGAGGAATGGAAGATGGTGTTTTTCGGCACGGAAACCTCGGTAGAAGTGAACGACGAGTTGGACAAGGACAAGCTGACACCGCCGGTGATGCATCATGAGGTGAGCCAGAACCACGCGCCTTCTGACATTCGACACAACGCCGTGGACACCGAGGGCGATCCATGGACGGGTAGTCAGCAGGTCGAGCGAGTATCTCATCCAGAAGTGCAGAGGCCAACCACAGAGAACCAGACGAGCGGCTGCGCCGTATTCAACGCTTCTGGCGGGTGCCTAGGTGGGTGCCTCATACTACTCCTTCTAGCCTACCTGACCAGCGTGACCAGCTGGCGGGAGCTGATCATCAGCTGGCCAGTTTTGACGGATCGAGTCGGATCGAATCGGAGCGAGTCGGGCGCGACGTCGGACCGGCTGCCGATCGCGACTACGAGCGTCGTCTCGATGACGACAACGGCGACGATGACGACGTCGTGGAAGGACGGCGCGACGATAAGCCGCTCGCCGGAAGTGTGCAGGTGTTCATGATGACAGCGAGCGGCTTTCGGTCTCGCGACGACTCGCGTCTTGATCCTGTGATCGTCATCATGTCCCGTCAGGTAGGACGCGGATAATCTCGCGGTGATCGACAACGTGTGCCTGTTTTTTTGTTTTTGTGATTCGTGAAACTATATTATATACTTGTGATGCGCACACGTGAGCGAAAAAAGGACAAAAAGGAAAGATTTGTTTCTTCTTTCTCGATGCTATTTTCTCGAAGGAAAATTTAGAACGCTCTCAATATGATTGGATTAACGTTTGTCCTTCTCCTTACGGAAAAAGCGAAAAACTTTGATGAACGTCAAAATGATACTCCGTACGAGCATTTCTCTCGATCGAGCGAATCACGCGATTTCCTCGCCAATGCACATTTCTAGAATTAACTTGGATCGAGAATTTGTTTGTATCGCGCGAGAAAGTGAATCTTTCGTAACCGAGACGAAACGTCCGGACGTTTGCGCTGTGATGACATTATATTCAGAAGGGACGCCGATGTGAGAGGTAGCTTCGACTGATCGAACTTTTGATAGAACGGAACAGGAGCTCGACGGCTACAGAGAAAGATATAGCACGGTTCTGTTTCTGATGAACTCTCGATTTCTCGCTCTCCGAAAGTCTTTCTTTTAAGAGAAGTAGTCACATTAAAACCATGAAATGAATTTAGTTTGCTTACCGACAATTCATGTTTTAAAAACATAGAACGTGATAATAGTCGGAAAACTGACGGAAGTACGTATCAGACAGAAGTAGTTTACGAAATAAGATTGTTGACATATATAACATCTCGCGAGAAATTCAACATTAAAGGCTATAACGAACGTACGAGAGGTAACGCAAATAAATTTTGCATGTTGTGCAACCTGTAAACGTTGTTTCTCTTATACATACAAAATAAGTTTTTCTAGTAAAAAAAGATTAAAAGTAATTGCAGTAGATTATATATACAAGGTAACCAATAACTAAAAAGATAATAATACTTAAAAAAACTTAACGTCTTGAAAATATTTCAGTGAAATCGAGAGATCATTATTATTTTTTTTTTTTTTTTGTAACAAAATACACTTTTTTGTCTTTATACACAGTTATTATTAGTATAGTTAAAGCCGTAACTCTGCGAACGTGCTTGTAAATATAGGCAAAGCGTATTTATTATACCTCATGGAGTTACGCGCGATCTTAGAAGTTTTACAAATGAAATGGCAGTCGGATTCTGTAACGTCTTGTTCCTCTATTCTGAGCAAACATGGATAAATAATTGATATCTCAACAAACGCCTAGACTTATTTGACTTTTTACAATAATCTGAAAGTAAGTTTGCTTAATAATTAAGATAGGCTTTTAAGGTCAAATTAACTTAAACTTAACGATCAAACGTAATTTATAATATATCCATTTCCGCTCAGCTCTCGGTCGAAGCTCACATCGTACATAGATAATAACGTCCTGTGTGTGATTTACTTCAAGTCAAGTTTTTGTACAAGACAAAAGTACAATAGAGGATCATTGCGCAACTGCCATTAGCGAGATCGGTCTCGCGCCCTGTCTCTCCTGTCGGTCCTGGAAAAATTGCCTCGCGTAACTTAGTCCACACATCCATCGAGCTGCAATCTTCGGAGACTCGCCACATCGTCGATTTTGATGGACGGAGTGGCTTCTACGTGTTTCAAGAGGAAACATCGTTTTTCTTTCGCCTTCTGTTTCTTCCTCTCTTTTTTTCTTACTAGCTTTCTTTCTCGTACATCTTCATATGCATGACACGTGACTTTCCTTCCACCTTTCTCTCACTCTCTCTCTCTCTCTCTCTCTCTTTAACTTCTCGCCTGTCGGTATGTACCCTATTTGTTTTCTAGCATCTTCTTACTGCCAGTTTTCTTTCACATTCTAAATCTTTCTCCACGTTTCATAAGTATTCTGCGCCTTTCTGAGAGAGAAGGATATTCGGTAAGCTATCAGCACTGCCGAAACAGGAACTACAGGGAGATTCTACGGCTGCCTATGCAAACAATTGAGGATGGGATACACGAGGCTGTTTGTGAATTTTGGACAAGTAGCAACACCCGGGCTTTGTTAAGATTAACGACGACGATCATATATACAAACATTTATGTTAGGAAACAATCGTTTTTGTATAGAGAAAAATAACTGTAACACTCTTTTATTATATTTGATAAAAAATCTAACATTATATTTTACTATTTGTTTTTAGAAAAAAAGTTAGATTATTGATCCCTACGCAAACAATTTCATTCATGCGTCCATAATTCATATTCAGTCTCGGACGTACAATATATCAAATTTTCAACACAAAAAACTTGCTCAAATGTTGTTAAATATAATAATTATACTCGCGTGGTGTCTGCAGGCATCTGTAGATAATTAATTCACGCTCTTAGATGACTCTCAGCGACAAAAAAATACTGTGCTGTTAAACGACCCGATATTTTCTGAACACTTTTTAGATACTATTGTTTTGCTCGGAAGAGTTTCGATAGATACCGGCGGGCATGTTCGATTGCGAGCTTAAAGCCGATCGCGCGAACTTTTGTAGAAATTTCGATTGCGGGGACAAGCGAAAATTCGACGGGGAAGCTTTGACACGAGTTGACGATTTGTTTTTATTGCGGAACGATCGTCAACGAGTTATCGAATCGGGAGGAAGTTTTTGCCATCGAGTATCGAGAGGATTTGTTTCTAAGATTTATACGATTTATATCACAATGCCGAATCCAATCATGTTCCGTCGAAAGTTGCAGACCACAAATCAGAAGTTAACTGCGAAATCTGCGCGCGACAAGCCAGCCAAATTACAATTGATATAATATGTAACTTCGGTTTGAGCATCGAATATGACTTTAAGTAAAAGACAGAGAATTGCATATGCGACTGATTGGTGCTTAATGCAACGTTTTTCAGCTAGATAGTTGATTAAAAACGAAATTGCAAGCTTTGCTCTATTGTTATTTCTCAATCGAGAAATAATACAAAATATACATATATATATATATAATTGTATTTATAAAAGCATTATGCACCAAACTAATATATATATGATGTAGAATGCTTTTATAAATACAATTGAAGGCAGAATTACAAACGTTTAATTTAATTTTTTTTTAATAATTGCTATTAGTTTTAATAAGTTTTAAACATTTATCATCATAAACTGGCTTTTGCACTGGCTTTTTTACATCTAATTAAAAAAAACTTTAAAAGTTACACATCAAGTTATTTAAAATAAATTTTCATTAAAAGCGACAAAAATGTTTTGAAAAATTAATATTTTAATGCATCAAGTTATTTTCAAAACTTATTATTATTAATTTTTGTGTATATATACATATGTGTATATCACCAAATTAGTCTTCATGTTTTTAAAGTATGATTGACTTAATTAATTACAATGCAGTGCTGAATTTTATGGCGTGTTAAAATTCTGAGAGTAATACGTTATCGAAAGACTGAACAATTATCAAAGGGGAAATATCGAATGATTGCGAAATTACATTATTGTTTCAGTCACGATACTAAACGTGTCTTTTCAAGTGGCGCGTTCTACGGACAAAACGATTTTTCGAGATGCGAGGATATTCTAATGGATGGCTCTCGAATGCACAGTTGCAAATAAAAAAACGCATTTCCGGATCTCCGATAGTATTACATCGGTTTGGGAGATATAAAAGTCGGTCAAATGTTTTTCCACTTTTGTGAATACACTCAATTTTACAATTTCAAGATTAATACTCATCATATCGATTTTAGCTTTTACGCTGTATTTAAAATAATTTGCAAATAAACAAAATTTTCTGTTTATTATTGGCAGATAACATTGGTGAGATAAAAAGAGAGATAAACTGTCAAAAAAACGTTGAAGCTTGAAAGTTATAAGTAATATTAAAGAAATATCTGATAAAACATTTCAAAATTTCTCTGGTTAGGCACATTAGAACATAACTGAATAATTTTCATTCTTTATTAAGTAGAATGTGCTACGCGCGATTTTTACTATAATAGTTTTTGATAGAAAACATTTAATATCCATTTCGATATTTGAGAAAAAGTAACTATAGTCAATTTTCTAGCATAATTTTATATGGTATTTATTTTTTACGTAGATGAAAAAAAGTTCTACCATGGCGATCAATACAAGAATACGAATCCAATTTTTATAGTAGAAGAACAAAAAATTGTATTTATCGTCAGATACAAATTTTCGAAAATCTTTTTCTATTTTATGTGAGCTTTTTCGATTTCTTGTATGTTCGTGAATTTAAAAAAAATTTAAAATTTACATATATTCTCAGATATGTATATAGTTTATTTCTCGATAGTGTTTTATATTTTTTTTTATTTGGCATACGAAAAATGAAAGAAAATGCCGAATAAGAAAGTAAAATTTGTTTATATATATATATATATATATATATATGTATATGTATACACAAAATAGAAATATTTAGAAATCTTTTTGTTAAAATATTTATTATTTAATTATTTATTATTTAAAATTTTATTAATTTATATAATAAAATTTTGGTTTTTTTATTGTTTAAAACTAATGGTTCACGTCTCTATTTTAAATGATTGATGCTGCAAAAACTTAGCTCTTTACTACATCTCTAGCGTTCATAAAAGTGTTCTTTAATCAACGATTCGTTTCGTGTGAAATAAGACGGAGGAAAAACGTCGTATTGCGAGAGAACGTCGAGAGGGAGAGAGCAGTTCTGATATCGTTTGAAGCAA